ATAATGTGAAATATTTGTTGACACCTAGTATAACGTAGTTTCGTAGAAAGGCAACATTTTAAAGGAATAATTTCTTCCAGTCATGAACAGGTTCAGTTAAAATTGTAGCCAACTTCATTTCTGAGATCGAAACTTTACGGATCATTTCAACAGAAATTTGATAAACACATTTGCATACTTTGAAACCTTCTTTCAGTTATGCAATATTAATAATAATAATAATACATAACATTTATTAGGCGCTTAATACTGATGTTTCTAAGCGCACAGTGTTCTGATTAAGAGAAGACTATAACCCGTAGAATTAAATTAGAAGAAAAAGCAAAAATACAAAAGTAACATAGATAAGGTAAGAAAAACAGTGGCAATCAACTAAATAAAGACAAATATGGTGCGCACCTCCATTGACCGACGCACAACTGCAATTTACAATTTGAAAAGATAGGTTTTGAGTAGAGATTTGAATTGAGATACAGAGGGGGCGCAGTGAATAAATAATATTTCCTATTGTGGTGTCTTTGTTTCAGCTTGGTGCTGTAGGCACTATGAATATGACGGACAAAGAAAGCGGACAAAATACACAGTTCCCCATTCTACACTCAACAATATTGCTGTGGTAGACAGATGGAACATCCCTTCACTGCTATTATGTAAAAATGTGTAGAACAGTTGTCACATGTATATTCACCTGTGCTACTTATATATATTTTTTTACATAATAGCAGTGAAGGGATGTTCCTTAATCTACCATAGCAATTATTGAGGGTAGAATGAGGAACTGTATATTTTGTCCGCTTTCTTTGTCCGTCATGCTGATATCTTGTCAAAGGACATTTTTATATCTAATAAGATATCAAATACATCTTCATCTTCATTATTTTCATCATCATGAATCGTTTTACAGGGCCGGGGGTACCCAAGCGGGTCAAGCTCGCTATCCTTAAGCACCGCTATTCATAAGGACCTTTATATATAACGCGCGAGAAAATAAATAGCAATGCTGACTAGCGCCCTTGTAGATAGCGAGCAAACCATAAACAATTAACCTCGCTATTCATAATTATTTATAAAGACCGCCATTCATACGCGTGACTAAATGAATAGCGTTCTTTTATAAATAGCGGTCTTTATAAATAGCGAGCAGACCCCTTCTGAGCTACACCGCCCCCGTCTCTCATCTATCTCTCTCTTTCCCTCTCTCCTCCTTGTTCCCCTTCTCCTGGCTCTCCTCTTCCCTACACTCATTTTCCTCTACCTTGAATTGTGAATTTCCCATAATTTACTTGACTAATCGTCACCTTATATTCGGGCAGCAATGAAAAGTAATCGTACTTTCAAGTAAGCATACTTCTGACATTTAGATGATGGGGAATTCGTGAACGTTTCTGAAAACATTGTTTACGTTTACTCGTGCTTACCTCATTTATTTTCATATTTGTATTTTGTCATTTAGTATTTGTTCTCATTATTTGTCAATATATCAGGTCCAGTTGTATCACTCGTTCTGACGAAGATCAACCATCGTTTTGTCGCTATGTTAGGCGGAGTGTTGTGTGGATCATTTATTATTGCCAGCGCTTTCTTCAATAACACAGTTACTGTAGGAGTCTGTCTCGCTTTATCAGGTAAGCTAATTAATATCTTGCACTTTAGCTATGTAATCGAATATTAATATGCAGCTCATTTTGTTGCATACCTAGTAGGTAGATGGCCATAGTATGGCTCTCTACCTACCAAGTATGCCATACACACAGGCCCGAATTCACAAAGGAGGTTTGTCGACAAACCTAGGTTTATATGCATGTACGTCATATGACGCGTTTTGACGAGTTTTTACAGACCTACGTTTGTATTTACAGACCTAGGTTTGTAAAAACGCGTCAAAACGCGTCATATGACGTACATAAACCTAAGTTTATCGACAAACCTCCTTTGTGAATTCGGGCCACAGCGTTTGCCCAACAAAAGCAGTAGTGTCTATATCGAGCCCTTCAGCCTACAGTGGCACCAATAAGCCAGTTCACGGTTGCAGTCTGAGCATGAGCAGATAAAGGTCATTGCAGAACAAATTTTGAAATACACGGAGACGTAATACTGGATGCGTGCTCATGAAAGTTATGTGATCATTATTCATTCATGCACATTCAGTGCACTCCATGATACACAGGTGGAAGTATTCTTTGAAAAGGGGAAAACAAAGGCTATCTATATATCGCTGTAGGAGTGATTATTTCAAAATGTACAAAGTGGGACGTCTTCATGTTTTGAAGATCTGTGGATATTCGGGGTCATTGCAGTAATGTGCTAACCGTGAACTGGTCTATTGAAATGAGCGAACATAACAATGGCGTACTCAGAGTTTGATTAATATTCCCCTTTTCCTTGTAATCCGCTCCCTATATTATGTAAAGTTTCCATTATATGGCCCGTCTGTCAACCATTCGACCATTTCCCCAAATTCAACGTAGAAAATTAGGAGAAGATGATGTTATAAGGCGCAGGCGCGTACGCAGGATTTTTTCAAGGGGGGGGGGGGGGGGGGGGGGGGGGTCACATTTTTTTTTTTTTTTTTTTGGTCTCGAAATTTGAAAATTTGACATTTTGCTCCGTTGGGGGGGGGGGGGGTAAGGTCAGCTTTTTTAGGTCAACCATGGGGGGGGGGTTTAGAGAAATTTAGGGGGGGGGTTTACACACAAAAAATTACCAAAGGGGGGGGGTTAACCCCCCCCCAAAAACACCCCCCCCCCCCCCCCCCCCCCCCCCCTGTGTACGCGCCTGATAAGGCGTCACTTGCGTAATGGGACCTTGTCGCCTGTTAAGCAGGGCTCCCACTTAGCCGAGTTGTATTAGCGAGTTATGGCGAGTTGTGGTGAGTTGCCTCAAAGAGGCACTCGCAATAACTCGCTAACAATTCGGTATGGCTTAGCGTCACTTAGCCGACTTGGAGCCACGAATTGTGGCGAGCTGGCGCGATCTTATGGCAGGCAGTTTTATCGTTAAAACATATTTCTTGATATCACGAAATCGAATTCTTGATATCACGAAAATAATAGAATTCTTGATATCACGATTTCAATTCTTGATATCAAGAATTTCCATTGCGTTACAACGTAAAATTATTTCGTGATATGATAAAACGGCTTGCCATGAGATCGAGCCAGCTCGACACAACTCGAGGCTCCAACTCGGCTAAGTGGGAGCCCTGCTTTACTCTTTACAACATTCCATGACTCTCCTCGAAGTCGCGAGCAGTTCCAAAATTTTGAACATGTTCAAAAAATTTCCCCGATTCGTCGTAATTCGAGGTAAACAAGCTCGCGCTGCACCCTTCATAAGGTGGCGAGTTGCTATGAGTATATTACGAGTGTTAAGCAAGTTCACCTCGAGCTACAACGAATCAGCGAAAATTTTGAACATGTTCAACATTTTCACTGATTCGTTGTTACTCGAGGTGAATTCGTTGTTACTCGAGGTGAAGTCGCTTACACTCGTAATATACTCGTATTACTCGTAACTAGCCCGCGCTGCACTCTTCATAAGGTGGCTATAGTTGCTACGAGTTATGAGTGCAGCGCGAGCTTGTTACGAGTAATGCGAGAATATTACGAGTGTAGGCGAGTTTAACTCAAATTACAACAAATCGGGGAATTTTTTTGAACATGTTCAAAATTTAGGAACTGATCGCGACTTCGAGGAGAGTCTTGGAATGTTGTACAGAGTTACGCTAAGCCATACCGAATTGTTCGCGAGTTAATGTGAGTGCCTCTTTGAGGCAACTCACAACAACTCGCCATAACTCGCTTATACAACTCGGCTAAGTGGGAGCCCTGCTTATTCTGTATATTTAGGGGCGCGATGTCTAGATCAAAACCTTTTTTAGGATTGGATTGGATTAATCATACTTCTGCATTAAAAGAACTGAGCGAAATATCGGCTGGCATGGTTTTCACATGTCAGGGGCCAAAAAAGAAAAAGACAAATAAGTGCTCAATTTATTTAAATAAAGTAATTCTATATATAATTACATTATCAAGAAGAAATTTACTCTATCATAGCTTCTTTTTTTTGAGGGGGGAGGGTGGAATACGAATGTTATTTCTGTGATTGACATCAATTATTGCTCATTCGCCCTATTGTAAAGACTACTACAACATTAACCACCTTACGGGGCTTTTGACTGACAAGCATTCTTTCACCATAATTTTATATCAATATTTCGCTCTTCTTTTTACCATTTACTTTTTAGAATCATTAACAAAAATTTAAAGTGAAATATGAAAAAGTATAAAGACAAACAATACTGAAACTAATAATTAGTAGTAGTATTGTTAACATTATTATCATCATCACTTTTTTTCCGCAGGTGCTGGCTTGTCAATGACCTTCATGCCCACAATCCTTGCACTGAATGATTCATTCCGGGAAAATTTTGTTTTGGTGAACACAATCACGTTATATGGCTACACCGCCGGATCCATGCTGCTCCCTATTGTAACGGAAAGGTCCTTTGAAGCATATGGCTATGTAGGGGCTTTTATTATCCTTGGCGGTATCGCTCTGAACCTTGTCGCGTGCGGTGCAACGATACGCAAGTCATCAAGAAACGCCGCTACGAATGAAGGCGAAATTCATGATGAAGTGAAGGAGAAACGAAAGGAAATATTGGAGATAAAGGAAGACAGGATTTATAAACAGGAGGAGGAGGAGGATGAGAAAGGGGATGAACGAGAGGAGGAGGAGGAGGAAGAGGATAGTGGAGAGTGCATTTCGGAGCAAAGAGGTTTGATTCAAACCGATAGCCGTTGCAAGTCATCAAGAAACGCAGCTACGAATGAAGGCGAAATTCATGATGAAGTGAAGGAGAAACAAAAGTGCCATTCTGAAAAGAAATTATTAGAGAAAATGGAAGACAGGATTTATAAACAGAAGGAGGAGGAAGAGAAGGAGGGGGTGGAGGAGAAAGGGGATGAACAGGAGGAGGAGGAGGAGGGGGAAGAGGATAGTGGACAGTGCATTTCGGAGCAAAGAGGTTTAATTCAAACCGAGAGCCGTTGCAACAGAAAGCATGAAACATCAACAAATGCACGCTCATCCTGGACCACACCCTTCTTTCAGACCTGTAAAGGGTCTTGCGGACTACTAAACGATCCTCTCTTTCTCTTCTCCTTGCCTATTACTTTCTTGCAATTTTACACCATTTATGCATGGATGCTTTTCCTTGTCCCCCACGCTGAACATCTTGGCATCCCTCCTTCCAAAGCAATCTTCCTCTCCACAATCGGCGGTATAGGTGGCATCATCGGTCGAACCATGTTCATCATCCTCGTCCACAAAGGGATCAACGTCTTTGTTGTCTACATTACCATAGGTCTCATATGCACGATATCCTTTCTAATAGACTTCGCCAGTTCTGCATACGAGGTGCGTGCTACCTTGGCCTTTGTCCAAGGGTTCTCCTTTTTCATCGAGGATGCAATTTCGGCGTCTTTATTCAAGGAAGCAGTCTTTGACGATAGAAATGTTAATATGGCCATGGCTCTCACTAGCTTCACGGGAGGACTAGGGGCAACATGCGCAGGAACATTTACAGGTGAGTTAATTGAAGTCCACTTTTATTTTCAAACATGATCGCAAGAACCCTTGAAAATAGACACAAGGACAATACACCATTAGAAAGGATGAGGGCACGTGTCTAAATAGAAGGGGGCACTTATCAGAGATGAAAAGAGGCGCTCATTAAAAACTTAAAGGGGGCACCTCTCAAATGTTTATAAGGGCACTCACCGGAGATGAAAAGAGGCACTTAAAACTCTCAATATAAAAGGAACACCTCTTAGATTTGAATAGAGGCAATTATAATAGGTGAGGGGGCACTTATCAGAGGTGGTGAGCGGCATTTCTTGTAACTGAAAAGGGGGCACTCACCTGAGATTGGAAAGGTGCACTTATTTTAAAGTAAAATGAGAACTTGTAGAAGAAAAGGGGCACCTATGAGATTTAAATAGAGACATTTACTAGATGTGTGAGAAGGGGCACTTATGAGAGGTGATAAGGGTCAGTCATAAAAGATTAAAAGGGGAAAGGGCACTTATTATAAAAGAAAAGGGCACTTTTGAAAGTAAAATGGGCACCTCTAAAATTTGAATAGGGGGAATTGTCATCGATGAAGGGGCACTTACTAGAGGTGGTGAGAGGCACTTAAAAGACTGTTGAATGGGCACCTATTAGAAATAAAAAGGGGGAACTTGTCTAAAGTAAAAGAGGGCACCTTCCTAATGTAAACAAGTCACCTTAGGGGGAATTGAAAAAGTGTTGAGGGGCGGATTTGGCCCCAGCCCCCCCCCCCCGGCTCCGCCGGCTGTGTCACATTATATGTATTTCCATTAAAAATTATTGTCGGATTATGGACTGACAACATAAAGCAGTGTACTGGAATGTTTTTTTAGCAGCCGTGTGAGTCAACAAAAAAATTACACCTTGAAAATTGCAAGCTTTTTTAAAAATCATGTATGAATAGTAAGAGTGTTTCATCCCAAAAAATTTGGTATCATTTTTGTGTGGTATGTGTTCACGCTTGGATGAAGAGGAAGCATTGTTTGCGAGAGTGCAAAAATCGACTTGCGCCAAAGTGATGCCTACAGTATGTATTAATTTGGGATTATCTGAGTGAGAGAATGAATTTAATGTATCAAATGAAATGTATCGCTTATGCTTTTTGCAGAAGCAAAGACGCACACACACACACACGCACAAATGTCCGTTGATATTTTATATTCGATGTTTGATATGTGTGGCATGATTTATTTTGTTAGGGATGGTTTTTGGATCTGCAAAGACCGAATTAATTCTCAAATCCCAATTGTTTTATTCAAAAATCACAAAACAACTTTGGCGCATATCAATTGTTGCATTCTCGCAAACAATGCCTCCTGTTCATCCAAGCGTGAACACATACCACACACAAATGATACTAAATGATCCAGGATGAAACGCTCTTAGATAAGATGTTTAATAATTTACTGTTCAAAGATGACTTTTAAAAAAATTAGCAATTTTCTAGGTGTAAACTTTTTTTTGACTCACACTGTAGAAATGCTGATGACAGAAAGTTATGGAAGAACCAGTGAAAAACTTGAGTTCTGGTAATGCGATTGTATTGTGAAAGAAAAGGTGTGGAATGGATCAGAAAAGTTGATCATATAGCATTTAAGTAATGGTGTGTAATGCAAGAGTCTTGGTAAAGTAACAATCACTTACACAGAAAGATGTATATGGGACAACACACATGGTGTCGGGGCTAGTACTACCCTGATTTTAGTTATCTTTCTATGCTCATTACTCAGCCAGTATACTTTTTCTTCCAAAATTGTTTGGCACATGACATTTATTTGTAATCTTGAACATTCAGTGTAAGTTTCGTTAGATTCTGTGAGAATTCATTTTCTTTTTTTACCAGAACTCAAGTTTATCTTTAAGGTCAATTGTATGGTCAATCAACGGCCTCTTAGTAAATGGACATAGAAAGAATATGTTAGGTCTACACCCACATATTGTTAAGAGTTTCGTGATGATTTAAAGGGGAATTCCACCCTGAAATTAAGTTAGTTTTAATAGGAGTAGAAAAATGAGAGAAACAAGTCAGTGAAAGTTTGAGCAAATTCCGATTAAAAATAAGGAAGTTAGGATTTTTGAAGTTGTGATCAATCAAACACAAATTGGCAACTCTATGACGTATCATGCGAGCTCAACTTCCATTTGCTCAGTACTAAAAAAATCTAAAATTTTCATTTTCCCTCACGAAAAATTTCAACCATACATGCACCCTAAATATAATAATTGCAAATATGTTTCTATACTCCCCCCTGCAAGGAACAAATATATATTCCGTCATCAATAACGAAGAAAACATGATTTTATGGAATATTATGCACAAAGCAAATGAAGGAGAGCTCGTATAATAAGTCACAGAGTTGCCAATTTGTATTTGATTGATCACAACTTCAATAATTCATAACTTTCTTAATTTCATTCAGAATTTGCTAAAACTTTCACTCACCTGATTTTCATATTATTCTGCCTCTATCGAAACAAACTTATTTTGGGGGTGGACTTTCCCTTTAAACTATATGTTTATACGCACCTCCTTTACGCATGTTTTCATAGGTTATGGTCAAACTGTATCTTATTACACTTTGTCATTTAAAATTACAATTCCCCGACTGATAATTCTAATTCTGTTATAATAATCATTTTGTAGGTTATCTGTTTGATGTCACCCAGTCGTTCACGAAGGTTTTCATCATAGGCGGCTTCATCCACGCCGGCATGATCGTCCATCTCTTCGTCGTAGCGATCCTCATCAAGAGACGACGGATAAGAAATGAGCTTTCAGTTTGAAAACAAGGGCGATTTAGGGGAGGGGGTAAAACCTCCCCACCTTGAACACAAGTTTAAACATTAATACTCCTCCTTTTAAGTATTGGTTTCATTTTTTGTATTTATTCATTTTTATATTAATTCCTCTAGTACCTAGACCAAAAAAAAAAAATATACGTTTTTTTTTTGGCCTTGCTTGCATGTCCAATTTTTTCAATTTTGTTTGCGCTAATCTTTTGCAAAATCCTACATCCGCCCGTGCTTTAAACTTTTTTTAATATTTCATTTGCTTTTTTTGTTGGATGTCTTTGCTTTATGATCTTCCGAGAACTGTTTTGTAAATGTTGCAAACCGATGCTCCTAATAAATCACAAACTTGATTATTTGTATGATATCAAGAATCATGCCTCCACATTTTTTATCTGAATGGTTCCTTGTCTTCAAATTTGTGATAGAGAATACGGAAATGGGGGGGGGGGGGGTACATATATTATATTACCGTAAGTTTTTGATCAACCATATAAATTCAAATGACATTTTTTGCAACTTCTTTGTATACCCAATGAGGGACAATAACGAGAGATGATATAATGTAGTTTTGAAAGCGCATCTTACTAAGCGCAAGTTACTATTGCTTCCATATTAATACCCTACGTTTAAATGTTCTTTGTTATTCAGTTATTTTAATTTGAAAAATGCAGAAATAGAATCAAATCAACAGCAAAAAGGCTTTAATATCTTAAAGACCGTCAATACTACTGGGTCAGAAGGGATTAGACCACACAGCGAGGTCACTGACAGGTGGCTGTCTCATTAACTCAGCTCTCATCTAACATAAGAAAAAGAGGATCATGGAGGACCAACAGGCACCGATTGGGGAAGTTTTCTATATAGAGGGAGCAAGTAGCTACAAGTAGGACAGTGGGGCTTAACGTGAACGAATCCATCGTAATAGCTTTTGGAATGCCAAGTTAAAAAAAAGAAATGTTTGTTCACCTCCTGGAGCACTTTATGGCCATTGTTATAAACTGTTATAAACCTGTGTTCTGTTAGGTAGTTTTAGGAGTTTTAAGAGATGGAGTCCTATCTTGCTCATTCCCTTTGTACCATCATGCCGCCATGGCAAAATATGTCAGGCATGTACTTAACTGGATCTTCCTTGCAGATACGTAGACAAATTAAAGATTCTTGCCTAGCTGTAAACTAACGGGCCACTTTCAAAGGGATATATGCTTTTGTAATGATAATTACTTTTCGCTACCCCTCGTCTGATAATACGAGCAGTACACAGTGCTTACCTTTACAGGAGGCAAGCGAAAGGAAATGGAACAAAATTTCCTGAAATATTAATCAAAATTACTCGACCGGGCTTGTGTGGGCACTAATCTGACACATAACATCACAAAGAACCGTACATGAACAAATTCAATTTTTATTTTCGTGAGCCGGAAGTAATTGGAAAAGTGTCAAATTGCAGGTTTTAGGACTGTATAATTTAACTATTTTGCACAAATTAAAGCTGCTATTATACAATGTAAGCAAATTTCCTGACACAATTAGGCTTTTGTATTCATATTTGAGTTAGTTCAAATAAAAAGGGTATTTCTTTGTGAAAGAAATCACTACTCATCAAGCTTAATGATATTGGCGGCTTCGCACCTCGGACATCAAAGGTAACAGCACACCTGTAGATTATATTGTGCAACCATAGAAAACGGCAGCTGCTTGGAATAATTTGTTGCCAGTTGGGTCTCCATCTTTTAAAACTCCCTGGTAACACCAAGGAGTTGGAAATCCTAAGTCCTGGATAAGACACATTTTGAAGGGGTGGTAGGGTTTGTTTTCCTCAATAGGCAATTTTCGAAATGTCATCAAATTTAAAGCATGAGTATTTTCAAAGTGCCTCATTACAAATTATTTTATTCACCGTTACGAATAAAATTAATACGATAGTCAATAGCCGTGTTTACACTATGTCAATTGGAGTCGGCGTAAATTTAATTTTATTGAAAAATTCACTCTTTTGCATATTATGGTAATTTATGCAAATAAGGTCATAACATTCACCTTTTTACCCATAAATCATATGTTCTTTATATTTAAGCATTCTTTTTTTCACCACATGTATTTTTTAGACCAATTGAAACAATAATACGACAAGATTTTTGGAAGAGCTAGGTTATTCCTTATGTTATCTCTTGTTTTGATAATTTCTTATGTATTTCATTGTTTTTTCAACTTTTGTATTTTCTTGTTTTTTCTTCTTGTGTTTTTTTCTAACTACAATTCAACTATTTTGACCCCCAAAACAAACACCTAAACTTTAAACAAGACCCAATAACCAATGTTTTATCTCTTTTTAGGAAAAATGACATTTACATATGTTTTGTACACAAATCACGAACATGAGCGAAAGGTCACGTGACTTTGTAACTGTACACCCGATTTTCAAAAAAAAATGTTTTAAAAGATTCGCAAGACTCGAAAGAAAAAGGTCAGCTAGCGGCGGGGCGCTGTCCGTATGCGTTCCCGAATAATCAGAACAAATCGCCGAGGGGGGGGGGGGGGGGCATGGGGGGCATAATGCCCCCCCCCCCCGGCCTTATTAGGATTAAACACCTGTTTAGTACTACAACGATACAAATAAAGGGGGTGTACGACGGACGTCTAGATTAACAAGAACATAACTCCACATTATCTCTTTATCTCTTAAAGCCCCACTGTCCTACTTGTAGCTACTTGCTCCCTCTATGTAGAAAACTTCGGTGCCTGTTGGTCCGCCATGATCCTCTTTTCTTATGTTAGTTGATAGCTGAGATAATGAGATAGCAACCTGTCAGTGACCTCGCTGTGTGGTCTAATCCCTTCTGGCCCAGTAGTATTGACGCTCTTTAATCTGCCTTGCCCAGGATTGTTTTTTCTAAAGATTCAAAACAACTCACTTCGACCAATGGGCGCCACTGAAATCCAAGCCTAGAAAAAGAAAAACAGGGAGATTCGAAATGGCAAAGTGTGTCTCGCCTACAAGTACAAAATTACTATCTTTTCTTAAATTATCCTGTAGAACTATACCATACTATTTGATGCTCTTATGTTTGTTTTTTTAAATAATGTTTTTCATGTGTATGTTCTCATGTGTTATGTTTTATGTATTGTTTGACTAATGTCTAATTTTTATAATAATAATGTAAAACAAATACACAAACTAGGTGAACACACCCTAACAAGCAAAAAAACCTGGCTTTCATTGTGTTCACCATTTTCCACTTACCACTTGTGTTTTTTATGTAGTCTGTAGCTTGTTTCTCATTTAATGCTATACCTGTTTTGTATTTTATCTTCTTAATCGTTTGATTGAAATGTCATAGTTTTATAATGGTTTTATTGCCCATTGACTGTTTGTTACACATTGTTTTTTAAATTGATGTTGGAATTTGGAAATAAATGAATTGAATTGAAAACTTTTTAGGTCGCCTGCATAAAGATATGAATATTTTCATCAAAAACATATACAGGTAGGCTTTATATACTCCAACTTACAGAATATTCTCTCACTAATATACAATAGACTTGGAGGTGTACCACTTTCATTGAATATATAATATACTCACAATTTATTGCATAATTGTAATAATAACACTTATGACATTGGATTGTTTTGTGCTTTCACGGTCATTCCATCTTACAGAATGGCTAATTGATACATCATGAATATGCATGATTGGAATATGAATATGCCTACTCTACATGTAATGAATAAAGATAAAAATACATAAATATGCAACACTACATGACAATGAATGTGTTATATCTCTAATAACTATGAATATTCATCATTCATGTAAGTCAAGTCATTAAAAACTGAATACTGTAACAGCAACTTGGTTTGATTTCGTCAACTCAATATGATCCTGGTGGGCGTTTCACAAAACTTGTCATCAGTGACAAATGACAGGTTTTGTTATGAGCTAGTGAAATCCTTGCTTCTGATTGGTTATCAGCAGATTTGTCACTGATTTTTGTCATTGAAAAAGGGGCTTTGTGAAACGCCCCCTTGTTATTAGAGCATTGCCAAGAATATGTAAACGCCTAGAATAAATCCTGAATTCAAACAATAAAAACATATCACACTGTCGGCCTATAAAACAGGTATATAAAATCACTAGTTTTCATAACTTAGACTTACAGATCTTTAAATCAATTAAATTTTTTAATCAATCGAAATCGTGTCAATCAACTTTGCACTTCAGTCAAGTGTTCAGAAAACTTGTTTCATGCTTCTATCGTGAAAATTCCTTTGCGGGAAAAGATATGAACTGCAATACAAATAACTAAAAGGAACGTTCTATAAACAATGTGCTAATGCAGTAGAAAGCATATCTGAAGCAAAAGAGTCCCAGATAACATTGCAAATACATTAAAGCAGATATTAGAATCGTAACAGGAAGTTTGCCACTGTTCTTGTACAGGGTATTCCATAAAAAAGAAACACTAAGGCAAACAATTTCCAGGAAACCAAAAGTATAATCTGATTGCAATCTGAGTGCAACTTAATGTGTGTATGATACCTAAATTGAAGAGAAAAAAAGATACAAGCTAAGGCCTTTTGGGGCCCTCAGAATCTAGAATATGCACTGTATCGTAAAATAGGTTATATATATCCATTGTTTTTCCACATACGTTTCTTAAACTGAGTTCATGTTCCACAAATACTTCAATATATTTTGGCAATGTTAGAACTTTGGAGATCTTGCAAGTTACTAGTATACAACTAATCACAGAATTCTACAAAAATCTACAATACTACTACTTGCTACTGGAAAAAACAGAATGTTCATGTCCACATTCACCAATTTCAGATGATGTTCATATTCGTGAAAGTTTCACACCGTGAAATAATTGATTCACAATGGACACAACACTTAATGTATGCAATTCATGAAAGTTCTTGCCGTGAAATTTCTGTTGTGAATGATATGTGAATGTTTTATGTCATAACACATACGCAAAGACTTTTGAAAAAGCAACTGAAGGGTAATTTCAATAGCCTCATCCATCACCTTTTGAAATATTCGAACATTATAATGACGTTTTACATAATCCACAATCGGGTATTGAAATTGCCAGAGTTGATTTTTTTTCAAAAGTAGTTGCAATCATGTTTCATGAAAATTGATGTTTTTACAATATGCTTCATCCTAGACCTATTTACATCCAGATCCGAATTTCACAACTTTACTAACATCGCGATTAGTTAAGTGGAAGTCACTGTGGAACTAAGCAATATTTAAAACTTCTACTCAAATATCGCGATGTTTTTGTAAAATCACGATGTTTTTGTAAAATTGCGATGTTTGGATGGTGATGTGAACGGGGCAATCAAGAGGGTATTCACATAGACGTAATGTATCAACCTGCTACACTGTAAGAAAGAAAGAAGGTGCGTTCACACAAAACAGATTAGTACTTAGAAGTGAGTAATATCGTCAATCATTCAATTCACATAGATACATGTATTAGGCTGAGAGGTAGAAAATGAAGTGAGATCATACCACATTGCTGTAAAAGGACAGATTTGAATTGGATCCGGGCTAACTCGGCCCGCTGCAAAAACTGTAATTTTTGGTCATTTTACCCTACTAACCTACTAACCCAAAACCTACAAAAAATGACTGTTTTTGCAGCGGGTCCGAGTTAGTCAGACTCCTTTGATTATGACCATGTTTTTACATTGTGAAAGAAACTGTTCCAAAGCAACTGAAGGAGGTCGTTATCTTGTGAGGAATGGCTACTCATCTAATGTACGAGATCAAAATATAACCCTCTACTCCTAAACCAATACAGTCATGGTGAAAACATATAATTTGCTGCCCTCTACTGTTCTACTACTGACTCTATTGAGCTTTCCCAGACAAGGTGCAAGTGCTTTTCAATTTTTTTTCCTCCATCCTTTTAGATCAGGCCCCCCGTTTCATAAAACATGTCATCAATAACAAATGCTTAACTTCTATTGCAAATCTGCTTTTAAACAATCAAATGCGGCTTTGTAACTTGCTATTGAAAACAAGTTTTATGAAACTGGGAATTGGTATTCTTGATGCCCTAATGCTGCAGATCAGTGCATATCAGTAGTCTACATTGTACATTGGATGTGTACTCATCATCTGTTGGTCAAAAATGACCTACGGGTGGGTAAGGGTCAAGACCAAACAGCATTGTGGGAAGAAGTCACTTCACAATCCATCTCATCAAACCTCTGTTCACACATGACACATTCAACCCCCTCAAACCCTTTTTTTAGTCTACCAGTAAATGAATTGCAAGTGAGCGCACAGAAAAAAAGAAAGAAACATAGCTGCAATTCATTTACACCCCAAACCCCAACACATACTTTATGATCTGTGCGTTATATAACACAGACTTGTGACACTTATATCCATATAATTTGCCATTGAACCTTTTTGTTATCATATCAAAACGCTTTTGGGGCTTATCATGCCATGTGTGAACCAGACTTAAAGGGAAAATAGTAAATATAGAATACAAAAGTGAAGAAAGAGTACGATACAATTTGAGTAAAAACAAAATATACAAAGAACATCAAATATCTTGTTTAAGTCCATAACAGTGTTCACATAATCTATTCATACAATTAAAATAGTACAAATATTCTACATATGAATGCTTCAATATAGGATCAGCTTTTACGATCGTACGTCGTAAATAATTCTAACCAATACGGCCGGAATTCACAAAAGGTGGGCTAAATCTAAATAATGGTTTGAAGCTCAACTGACTATGGGCATCCTGTAGAGAAAAAATGTATAGTAAAACACATACACCTGTAGGACATAATATTAACAATAGTGGCCACTTGTATCGCTAATGCACAGGTGCACCTTTCGGTGCTCATGGCGCTTAGAGACATGACTGTTTAGCTTGCTTTTATTTTAAAGAACAAAGAGCATTAAATCTTTTGGCAAGCATTTTTTAATATGTATCACTCTCTGGCTTCTTTGGCTTCTTTGGCCGCCCATAGTAAATTGACCATGGATTAGGTTTAAACGTATTTTGTGAATTCCAGCCTATAAGTCGTATCAACCTAAAAAATAACAATCTCACTAATTCCACAGAAATATTATAAGTGATATTAGAGAGATACACCTAAAACCAATCAACTAATATACAATATCATGAATACTGATTTAAAGGTATTTAACATAAGAGGTACTTAACATTAAAAGATAAAGTCGAGTTCTGGACCCTGTTTCATAAAACTTGATATCAATAACAAGTTACAAGCTACTGTTACAAGCTACTGAAATCATGGCATCTGATTGGCTGAGAGCAAATTTGTCAAAGAAAGTCAGCAATTGTTACTGATAACAAGTTTCATGAAACGGGCCCCTGGTCAATGCAAAAGAAACTGTTTGCAAGCAATGGACCGGTTCACTAACATATTCAAACTTATGGATGTTTCTTTCTTGGGGACCTTGTGATGAGTTATTAAAGAATGAAATACGATACTCTGAATCCAATCTGCATATTACATGTTGGGCAAGCCTCAGGCAAGCTTTCAGGTTTTCAAGAACAACCTTTGTTTAAATAGTGCGCAAAGAATTTGAATATGCTAGTAAAGTTGTCTATTGTAAAAAGGTCAACAATGATGGTGATTCACAGTGCTTCTAAGCCACCATATTTTTATATAAAAATGTGCAGGCTCCTCCAATAGAGTCTTTTCACTCTTGCTGGAATAGACAAGTTTCGAGGCATCGTTTAAAGTGTTCTGGACTTTAAATATCAAGAGTGAGGAAAAGAGTTCCACAAATGAGGAGTATTGAATGAGAAGACCATGTTAGACTTTGTAGTCAGACATCAGCATGGGTGTAAAGTGTAAGATTATCGAATCCCCACATTATGATAAAAATTGACCCCATCTTCCTGATAACAACATGAACCGCACACAAAAATGGGTATATGGGACAACACTTGCATGTGGCATGAAAGTTTGTCAACGGTTTGTCAAACGGTTTCATGTCATGATTTGATTATGAGGGCATTGGAAGAGCAACCTATTTCACAGGTATTTCTCTTGTCATCTTCTTTCGATAAAATTTTAAAATATACAAACAAGAAACCTAACAGATTATTTCCAATCCTTACCAGAACTAAGCATTCTCTTTAAATTAGTCTACCCAAGCTATACCTCATTATGCTATTTCAATATTCAGTTACATGCTAGAGATGATCAAAGGCTACGGTACTCAACCATGTGAAGTTTATGGAAGGCAGTAACATGGAACAAATGGACTAGAACTACACTCTTGCCTATTCTAGAAGCTAAGGCAACATAGAAGGTATGAATAGGGGAATTCCCATAGAAGAATGGCTGTGGTTTCCGAATGGCGAAGGTTTCACTTTGCAGGTGCCTGGTTTTATAATACTTCAATTGAACTTGTGTATTAAACGACTAACTAAGACCAGGGTTTGATCCAATGGCACACAAGAGACATCTTTACACATCCATGAGCCTACTTGGCTCGAGTTGGTCACAGAATGGCATCTATTTTTTTCAGTGTGCTTGCCCAACATAGCGGTATTCCCCATATAGTGAAAATGGGTTGGGCACAGTATGACATCTATTCTTTCATTGTGTGCTTGCCCAACATAGCGGTATTCCCCATACTATAGTGCCCAACTCGAACCGGGATGGCCAAACTGTCCTAATCACAAAAAGACACAAGTTCTGTACAGAAAGGAATGTAGTGATTAACTGTAAGTCCAATAAAATCACTATTACTAACAACCGCACATCAAAGTTCTATAATTGGACACTACAAATCCTATCTTGGGGAGCACAGATTTAAGTAGCTTTGAAAGCATGATATTGAAGACAAAAATTAATAGTTTTCTAAAATTCAAATTCGAAAGAGTTTTGAAGACCATCCTTGTATAAAAAAGCATACAAGTCTAATTTACTACATGATCAATACATTTGGATAACTTCTTTAAAGTTACTCTCAAATAGCTATGAAACTGCAAGTACAAAAGAATACAACCAAAGGGAGAAATGGAAAAAATTACAAAATATTTAAGACATATATAATCAAAATCTTCTTTTAACAGAAGAGACACTTTGAACCGATATATATTGTACACTTCTTTAAAATTATATTAAGATGATCACAAACACCAGTCCACAAAACATGTATGTATAATAAATTAAATAAAACTGGTGATCGTGGGTAAAAAAGATCAGAAATACACAGAAATAGAAGCAATATTTAGTACAGTTGATATGCCGAGTCAATTAAAGGTATAGACCAGTTCTGGTCATGTGCATTGTGAAAGAAACGTTGTGAAAACGATCAGAAAAGGTTGATCATCTAGCATATAACTATTGGTGTGTACTGCAAGGTTCTGGAATCATCAAAATGATACAAAATTTGGCCCAGTCCTGGTAAAGTTACAAGCACTGTACACTAAAAGATGCATATGGGACTACGCGATATCTGTCCAGGCCGGATCGATATGATAACTTACCAAATATATCAATTAGTAGGTGGTTTCCCGGCAAAATTTGCATCCTCACGTATTAGTCAAAATATATTCTTTCACATAATTGACAATAAGAGCTTCGATTTCATTTTTTGAGAGGGGGGCATTTCCAAAACTGGTCTATACCTTGAAATGAATGAATTGATTAAACAAAAGAGGAACAAATTATCGCAGCTGCCCCAGACGTTATCCTTCTGTATACTTTGCCTTCTCGCCCGGATTTAGAATCGTCTTTTCGGTCGGCTCTTTCTCGGGTGACTTCTCAGGTGCTGGCATGGGTATGGCGACGTTTTGGTTTGCGGCGCCCTCGTCTGCTGGTGATGCTGTAGGTTGGCTGGTGATGGGCGTGTTACCGTCTGCGTCCTGTTCTTCGTCTTCGTCGTCCTCACCCTATGGAATGGGAAAAGAGAATCAAATTGCGAAAAAATGTAATGTAATACGTGACCAAAGTCTCTTATGGATTCAGAAATTTTGTAATTTTCCCCAAAAAATAATTGTTAATGGAAATTATCAAAATCAATTTCTTCTATCATAAATAGCAATAATAATGATCTGGATTTATATAGCGCTGAATATGGAAGACTGTCTCTAAGATATTATTACCCCGGTCATTGGATTCATTCGCGCACAATGTGCAGGAGTATTCCTACCAAATGGTCACCGTGAGGGCATAGGAAATTACTAACACAAATGCTTTCGTCATCCTACCGGGTCCCCATTTCTCTCTTGGGTGTGGAGTGGCAAGTAGACTAATGCCTTGCCAAAGGACATTGGTGCCGTGTCGAGGATCAAACCCGCGACCTTTGAATTTCAAATCAAGTGCTCAAACCACTCGACTTCAACACTTGGAAAGTATCCACCGACCATATTAATTACCCTAGGCTTGTCTTTACACTTGTCAGGGAAAATATTCCCGTGGTACCAGGGGTGATAGTGAGCACTAAAAAAAAAAGGGTTTTTTATTCCCTCAAACATGCCCCCCTTGAGTAAAAAAAAAAATTTAATGGCAGCTAACAACAGTTCCCCCTCTTTTGAGTAAGAAAATCAGGGGAAATAGGGAAGAATAGAGAAAATTCAGGAAAATTCAGGAAAATAGGGATAAAATCAGGAAGAAAAAATAAGAAAATTGGGAAAAAAATAAGGAAGAATAGAGAGAAATAAGGGAAAATTTGGAAAAATAGGGATAAAATAGGGAAACTGATAAATAAAAATGGGAAAAAATAGGGAAGAATAGAGAAAGTAAGGGAAAATTCAGGAAAATTTGTGAAAATAGGAATAAAATCAGAAAGAAAAAAAAAAAAAATTGGGAAACCGATTTAAATCGGGTAATTATCAGGCCTGCTTGGACTTACGTCTGGAATAACAATCTCGAAATCTTCATCATCCTCTTCTCCCCGTTTACATCTTCCACAGCATCCAAAGCAGCATAGGAAGCAACAGAAACAGAAACAGTAGCAGGTGCAGAAGAAACAGATCACGCTCGTTACCTGGGAAGAGAAAAGAAATTGAATGCCAACGTAAATAACATTACGACGGATAGTCGACCTGACGACGGATAGTCAACCTGTTTGAAACGTTGAGCCACTCCCGCCACTCATCCTCTCCAAGCGCTATAGTTCTCCTTAGAACTACAGGTGTATATGCTAAGAAAGATAACCAACAGTCTTTTTCAAGACTTTACCAACAGTCCTTTTCAGGACTACACACCCTCAAGAAAGATTACCGAGATTCCTTTTCAGGATTTCTCAATCCCCCCTCTCTCTCTCACACGGTGCACTCGCAAAGTATGTGTAAATAACATTGTAAAGTCAAACCTGCTTTAGTGACCACCTGTCTACAAAGGCCACATTTTTTTTTCCCTTAAAGCCCCAATGCCCTTCTTAAAGCTTCTTGCACCCTCTATATAGCAAACAATGCCTAAGCCTACAAGAAACCATTTATCATTTTTATTTTAATGATAATATGTGGTTCTTGTATACCATAGCACATTTCACATTATAATATAATATTTCTATGTGCTAAAGCCAGGGTAATAATCGGGAGCGCCAGGAGTGTCAAGTATGACAGGCGTGAATGCTATGTGAACCCACTATTATTATCATTATAAAGGATTTCAGAAATTATTACCTATCTTTAATCTCAGGCAATGGTACATGTTCATATAAAGCTCAGTGCATTCAGGGAATAAATCCTACTAGGTACCCACTTACTACACCTGGGTCAAGTGTGGCAAATGTAGATTAATGTCTTGTGTTTTTATTGCAAGAAGCTAGAAAATAATTGAATGAATGACCTGTAACTTATATCAGAGCAATAATATCCGAAATATCCCGTCCCCCTCCTTCTTCATCTTCCTCTGATTAGGATATCTATGATTATTTAATCTATTTCCTTTCTCACCACTCTTCTGAACACTAGTCGATTCCTCTGATTACAACCATCACTCCCGAGTCCCTACTACATCACTAACTCTCCTCTCTCACTCCCCCCCCCCCCCCCCCCCCCCCCCCCCCCCCCCCCCCCCCTCCTCTCTCAGTCTTGGTACTACATGTTTGTCATTTTCTTTAGTCTGTAATTCTGGAAGTATAAGTTATATATTATAGATTTTGATCATGATGTTTTACCATATTCCATGTGATTTTGTATCACTGGTAATTGTCAGTTGTCAACTTTTAAAATTTTGTACACTCTACACCTCATCAATTCAGCCTTCAACAGCTGCCATTGAATTTTTTATCTAATAAACCAAACCATTATGAATGAAAGAATAAATAATATTCAAAACTGAAATTAACTAATTAATTATGCAATCATACATACCCTGAAGCATTTACTGTTGACCAGGAAGTAAAGGTCAACATTGTCCTCTCCTATTTGATCAGCAATGTAGATTCCAAACGAGCCGTACTCGTCATATATCTGCCTCTTCTTCTCGTCGTTTAGTACTTTGTGTGCGCGGTTGATCTCTTTGAACTGAAGGAAGGAAGAAGAAATTGAATTGAATGGAATTGAATGGAATTGAATGTATTAAATTCAATTGAATTGAATGTATTTGATTCAATTGAATGAAATTGAATTGAATGTATTCAAATGAATGAAATTGAATTGAATGTATTCAATTGAATGAAAATGTATTGAATTGAATGTATTCACCACTTTCATCAAAACATGCAAAGTCAAATAATACGATAGAATTCTTACAAATATAGTCAAAACAAAAACACATCAAATGAAATTTAATGGAGTGGTCGGATCATCACACAGTTCCTACACAAAATGCAAGACGAACTCAAGTAGGACAAACAAATGATAATTAAAAACATAAAAGGGTGGTTATGAAATGAAATAAAATTAACAATAAATCATATTCTGTCCAATTAATGATGAGTTTGCAGGTGGGTGAACAGTACAGAGAAATCAATGCTATACATTCAAGTATTTTATCACATTGACATTTCGCTTCAGCCAATTTGAAGTGACCATACGTATAGTGATTACAACTTTCAACAAATCATAACTTTCTTATATTTAGTCAGATTTAATTGAAACTTTCATCCGTTTGCTTCTCTAATTTTCCAGCTTTCTTTAAGAGAGTAGCTATCTATTTGGGTTGGATTTCCTTTTAAAGACCATGACCATATTTATACATGTACAGTAGACACAGGACCAAACGAACCCACTGCTGAAGCTTTCGAACTATAAGCCGAGCAAAAGGTCATTGTAACTATATTTGTAAAGGTTGGCGAAACCTCAAAGTTAATTGCATCCACAAAGCATATGAATTTGCGTTAGGACCCCCTGCGACTCATAGTTTTCTCAGTAACCTTAAGATCACTTGAACTTTAAATCTTTAAATAAACACGATGTTCTGAAACCACAAATGTGTCCATTAGTCCATACGTAAAAAAACAAATTTGACGTTAAAAACCACAAGCCGAGAATGATTTCTTATCAATAAACCGCTTTAAATATATTTTAAAAAGTTTAAGCAAATTCAGGCGAATCTCACAGGGTTCGGAGGATATATTTGTTTTCAAAAGAAATAGTTTTTTCAGTGTCTGTACGATATGCCACTGTTTTGAGTCATATCTAAAGGTGAAATAAGTCTGTTGAAGTGATTTTTCTTGAGAAGGTCCAAAGGCTACTCAATTAAGGAGATCATCTGGGTCAGATAAGACAAGTAAGTAAATAATTTGGAATTAATTTATCAGCGTGCCAGGAAACATGCCATTAAATTTCATTTTTAGAAGAAAATAAATATCAAGTACTCTACGTACATGTAGTTCTTTTCTTGATTATCTTGAGTGCCAGATAGCAGTAATACATTATACACGTTCTTTGAACTGAATAGATACTACAAACAATTACCCTAATTTGTGACCTTTTGATAAGCAAAATTGTGAGAAAGAACATCTTCAAGAATACCTTCAAGCGATATGATATTAAGGATAATAAGTTTCAAGGAGCAGTGAATGAAACGGCTAAAAAAGCTGTGTCAAGAATTACTTCACAGTTTTGAGTCCCTTTAAAGTACCGGTAGCTTTAGCGAAATGTACTTGACATAAAAATGTACATGTACATGCAGTTAGTGATGCTTGTTAATTAAAAGTTATATCTATATACATACATACAGTATACATGTATGAATGAAAGTTTAAGCCTCATCGAGATAATAATAATAATAATAATAATAATAGCCTAATAGTCCACTCCCCATTTTATTAAACCTGCTCCATTATATCCTAACAATGAGGGTTCTACATGTACCTCTGTGTGATCAATCCTGACACTCCCCTGTGAAAAACTAAAGAATCACCACATCACCCCCCCCCCCCAACCCTCTTTCTCTCTCTTTCTCTTTCTCTCCTCAGGCTTTCTGGTGACCTATTACATTTGCTACATGGATGGTGTTAATGCTTGGGGCTTTATTTTCTCAAAGATATAAGGTTAGTATTAGGAAAACAAGAAGGTTTTAGGTTAAATATTTTGGTATATATGGTTGGATGAGGGTTAGGTGTAGAGCTTTATCCAGTGTTTGGAGATCACATGCAGAGACAGAGACATCTTTTAAAGCCCCTCTGCACTAGTTTGGCATTGAGGGATTAGACCTCCCTGCAAGGTCACTGGCAGGTGGTTATCTAATCAAATCAGCTCTAAAAGGCATCATGGGGGGGGGGGATCAACGGATACCGCTTAGGCAGTGTTGCCTGTATAGAGGGGGCAAGTAGCTATAAGTAGTGCAGTGGGGCTTTAACACTTCAAGTGATCTGCATATTATTAATCTCTCAAGGGAGAGCATTGCACAGCGAAGGCCCTGCATGAGCAAATTTTCCTCCCCCAAATTAGTATCAAGCTTTAATAACAAGAAATCCAGAGTTTTACAATGGAAGAGCGTAAATATCTTGACGGAATGTAATGATTTATTAAACTTTCAAAGGAATATTATACATTCATATGGCCAATTGGGCCAGGAAAAAAAAGCATTACAAAGGTAGTGTTTGTATTATGATTCTATTGATATTTACTCACAAGTTTTGTTCAACTGAATGTAATGAAACTGCACCATGGGTTTGATAGCCTCTAATATTAATATGCTACACTGCGTACTATATTCAAAGCATACCGGTCATGTGCAAAATGTAAATACTAGTAGATTCAAACAAACATTCAATATTTGCACGTTTTTTGTGAATCAAAGGAAAGGAAAACTCATCAATGCCACTAATTGCTGCTTACAATGTATGTACTGTATGACTATTGGCCATGTGCTAAATGCAAATACTGGTACATTCAAACTACAATTTAAATTTGGTATGCTTCTAGTGATTCAAATGAATTGAAACTTTAATAATTGTGTCTTTTATTAATTCCCAAGTATTTATGCTACTGTCCATTAACTGGTCAATGGTTGTGTGAAAATACTGGTAGAGTTACATGTAAACTAGAATTCAAAATATACAAACTTCAGGTAAATGTGATGAAAATTCATCAGGCATAGACACACTTTAAGAGAAGGTTGAGTTCTGGGAAGAGGTGAAAAATATTTTGTGAGCGCTATCCTTGACTATGCAAGTGTGGAAGAACATCAGATAAAACATGTTCCCTGAAAAGAATGGCTCTTCAAATGCCTTAATATTCTAAATACCGTATACATCTTTCTGTGTACAGTGCTTGTAACTTTACGAAGACTGGGCCAAATTTCTTAACATTTTGATGACTCCAGAACCTTGCAATACACATAATATACATGTATATGCTAGATGATCCATCTTTTTTGATCGATTCCACAACGTTTCTTTCACAATGCAATCGCTTGACCAGAACTCAACTTGATCTTTAAGGATTGTCTATGCGGTATGTACACCACTGTTGATATCAACCACATCAATTGGTTGTGGGCAAAAGGCTATGAATATACATGTAGTTCATACGTTCAAACCAACCTTTACATTTTGCATACTTCTGAATGTATTAAATGTAAAGAGATCTGATCATTTATTTAAATTAAAAGCCAAATAACAACTACAATCTTGTGTGCAAAATGGAAATACACTGTACATGTACTGGACCGGTAGATCAAAACTAAATGACAAAATATGCACAATTCTAGTAATGAAACCTTATCATGCATTACGTAACAGACACTGACTAAATTATTCATACTCATTGTCAATTGATGTTTTTGTGTTTCCGTAATTACTCAATAATGAAAGGTGGCCTTTGTTGAATATTGACATATCAATTTTTCCCATACTTTAAAAATGACAAAACTTGGTAAGGGTATTGAATGATTTAGTTGTTAACTGTACACACACATACTGTACATGTTTGCTATACATGTACATGTACATAAATCTAACCATATTGGTTGTCTGTATTTGTTATCTGTTTGTTCAAATTCTTATCGCGAGCATGTTCAATTTATGCAAATATACAAGGGTATGCAAAGGACATCTTAAGTCAAAACACTACTTGATCTTGGCCCATTTTATCATTCTAAGTTTTCCCATGCTTGTTTAAAATACATGTCAAGTGACATAAATCAATTAGATGTATTTGTATTGTTGCTTATCTTCACTCAGTAACTTCTGCTGATAATGCAAATATTTTGGCCTCAAAGGAAAGATACATCAATAAGTGCAGGTATTCTGAAAAACAAGATGTATTCCTGCCCTTTGATGTACATGTACAATATTCCTCATGAAAGAGATATAAAATGAAGATATTGTTGACATGAAGTAACGTAAATCTCTGTGTATAAGGCACACCTGTGTATAAGGCGCACCTCTATTTTGGGGGGGGAAAAAAAAAAATTGTTTTGTTGTTGTTGTTTTGTTGCAGAAAACCCATGCGGGGAAGGACCTTCATTTAACATCAAGGTGCACTTGAAGGCGCTGATTTGTGCTTGTGAACTTGTCACATAATAGTAACAATGTTGTTTTTAGAAGAATGTGTAAGATCATTAATGTAAATTAAATACAATAGAGTACCTAGGATAGAACCTTGTGGTACACCATTTGTTATAGAAAAAAAAAATTGAGGAATTATTATTATAAACTACATATTGATATCTATTAGAAAGATTACTTTCAAACCAAGATGACAGACAAATTTGAGTGTTGTTGTAGTTTTCGAGTGGTGAGTAAACACACTGATTACTGAGCTGGGAGACATTGCCAGGCATAGTGCCATAAATCGAAACTAAAAAAAAAAAAAAAATCGGCGGCAAAAAAGTGCGCCTTATTCACGGAGATTTACGGGGGTAATGACTTTTAGCATGACATGGGTGCTGCCATTTTCTTGAAAAGTACATGTACCAAGCGAAGTTGTTCATGTACCATGCACCAAGCTTTAATCAGAAAGGTGTTTTCATTCAATAACAAAACCATTACTTTTCAAGAAGGGAAAATCATGGCTGAGAAGGTAAACTTGTATTTGGTGAAAAATATATAACAGGAAACAATTGAAACACATTTATTTCAAAATATTAAAATTTAGCAGTGGACAAAAATCTATTTGTTTTGGTCAAGCTCGCTATCCATAAGGACCGCTATTAATAAGGACCATTATTCATAACGACTGCTATCCATAACGCGTAACAAAATGAATAGCGATCCTTTATGAATAGCGGCCCTTATGAATAGTGGCCCTTATAAATAGCAAGCAAACCATAGACAATTTACCTTGCTATGCATATATGCAAATATATATACATGTAGATGTGTTTACCGTACTTTACATGTTTTGTACAAGTACAGTATGTACAACAATGTCTGTCCAAAGAATGCGTTGTGTATATAGTTTATGGATTATAAAGTAGTACACTCCAAAAGAAACGGCACATTTATTTATGTTAAAGACAGAGGTTCATGGATTATAAAGGAGTACTTTCCAAAAGATAAGGCACATTTATGTTAAAGACAGAGGTTCATGGATTATAAAGGAGTACTTTCCAAAAGATAAGACGTATTTATGTTCATGGATTATAAAGGAGTACACTCCAAAAGATAAGACACATTTATGTTAATACAGACAAAGGTACATGGATTGATGCGAAGCTAGTCTTACCCTTTCTCCTGCCAGTGGGTCATCTCTGTTTTTGTCTGGATGATACTTCAGAGCCATCTGATTATAAAGGGAAACAAAAATCAATCAATTTATCAATCCTACTAGGTTGTTTTGTGGAAGAAGACGGCGCAATACAATTAGTCAAATTTCACATGAAACATGTGACTTTATATATATTCCACTTCGCATAGTTGTGAATTCAACAATCTTCAGAGCTCATTTTCAATTGAAACTTGGAAGTATTATGAGTAATAAACTAAGAACCATACACTGCAACAGAAATGGATTCAAGTATTTTGCCTGCCCTTTCTTCCACCCCAAAACAAATTATCCACAAATCTTTTGATTTAGAATGCTATAAAAGATTTGTGGATAATTTATTTTGGGGCTGGAGGTATTTTCCTTTTATTTTTAAAGTAAAAAAAAAAAGATGTACATGTATGTTTAAAGACAATTATTGACATGGATGTTCTAATACTACATAATATATTTTAGATTGAAAAGAGGAATGACCTCCCATCCTATACAGTATATGGCATATTATTATTATTATTATTATCATTATCAAATATACAATTTATAGAAAAGATTGCTGAATGATGTCATATATCACAATGTGATATATATATATACTGTACAAGAACAGCATCATTATTGTCATTATCAAATATATGATTTATCAAAAAGAGTCCTGGGCCTCGTCTAATAAACAGTTGATATCAATTGTAACTTATTTGCGATTGATATCAATCGCAACTATAAGGACAGAGAGCAAACTTGCAATTGATTGGAGGACTTACGATTGATTTAGATCAATTGTAACTTATTTGCGATTGATATCAATCGCAACTATGTATAAGAGATAAGAGAGAGCAAACTTGCGAATAATTGGAGGACTTACGATTGATTTAGATCAATCGTAACTCCTTATAAGATGGGGACCAGAATGACTTACCTTCCTGTATGCCTTCTTAATGTCATCTTCCTTAGCATCCTTAGGAACATTTAGTAACTGATACAATGATTCTCCCGCCGTGCTAAATATGGACAAAAACAAGAAAGAAAGGAGAAATTATACAATAAAACATACTCGGTAAGACAGAGATCATGCTCCATAGTTTTTAGGAAAAAAATGTCTGTTTTGAGACGTAAGGGAGTTGGCTCTGTGTTTTCAGCTCCAAACAGGCGATTTGCAAATGATCATGTTTTTTGGGGTTTTTTTGCGGCCGAAAATTCGGGTACGAGAAATTATCGTAACCGAGTAGTTGTCAACCGTGTGGGTACTCGAGCATTCAACTACATGTACACGTCGCAGCCCTAGTACATGTGATACACCTGGGGGGGGGGGGGCGTTTCACAAAGATTCGAAGTCGAACTTAACTCTAAGTTGGACTTAAATATTATGGAGAGCCATTTGTAGCCTTATTTTGATATATATTCAAAAGCAAAAAATTCAAGTATTTTAGACTTTTCATAAATTCCACATCAAGAGCATGAAATATCCCATAATAGAAAATATGAATGTTTTGAATCAACATTTTATGCCTTTTAAAATAACTTTTACAAAATATTTTCAAGGATGCTAATGGCTTTCCATAATTGTTAAGTCTAACTTAGAGATAATTTCAACTTAGAATCTTTGTGAAACATCCCCCAGTACATGTACATGTCGTACATAAAAGTAGAAAGGAAGGTATGAAAGGGAACAAGAGATAAATAGAAATCAATTCCCAAGTTTTCCAGGTAAAAGCTGATAAACCACGAAATGTAACTGTCACTATACCAGCAAAAGTTCAAAATGTATTTTAAAGACACCTGGTTTGACACTGTGCATAAATTGGAAACTGTCATCAATAAATTATCATATAATTGTATATTTAATTTCAGGTCTAAATGTGCGCTATTTTTCTATTTTTGTGTGTGTTTGTTTCCACCTCAAGAATGAAAGATGGACTGGTTGAATTAAGGTCTATGTGTATCATTTTTAGATGAAAGCTGGAATACATGTATGTCCATTCTGAAGAAACATAAATCTGCATAAATCTATTTTTCACATAGTACCTAAAACAATTATACAATATGGTATTTAAATTATGAATAATTCATTTCTCAACTGTAAGTTTACAAAGTGATTTTAATCTCGTTAACATTCAGACCTGTACACCAATACAGTATTACGACGATAACCTAGCTACTCTTGATCTGGATAATATATTTACATAATCAATAATCCATCATTATAACCACTCTGTATTCATGATGATTGTCCAGCTACAGTATATGTACAATGCATGCACAAGTGATGATCACGTACGGTATGTGTATGTGTAATTTGACATCAATAGTCTTGTATTTCAGACTCTAATGAGAATTTTCTCAATAACCTTGTATTATAAAGGCAGAGTTTCTGGACTCTATAGTACTACATTTAATACAAAGTGCACGTCCCTCGAGGAGACTTAAAGCCGTCGGTCCTCCGGCTGCTTACTCACGTGAATTATACATGCTTTCATACATGTAGCAGTCAGATACAACAATCATAATCATCACTCCAAATATAAAAAAAAACATGTTTAGCATCCTGTTTTTTTGAAAAATAGGAAGGAGGAGGCCCTTTATTTATTTTTTTTTCTTTCAAAATGACCGCTCGGTACATTTTTCCGGTCAATCAGGTTTTTTTCAAAATGGCCGCCAGTATTTTTTTTTTCTTTTTTTAATCAGAAATAGATCATTTTAGCAGTATGTTTTTCATGTTGTAATTCATTGAAGAAAAAAATTATTATAATTAAAAAAAAATAATAAAAATAGGAGGCAGCCCCAAAAAAGGAAGCAGTCGGGGACGCTAAACATGTACCGGTATATTTTTTTACTTGGTCTAATGTACACAAAAACTTTTGAGCTTGCAGGGTCATTGAGGAAAAGTTGAATTGGAAAAAAACCTTTAATACACAATGTGCTTTCTACTATCCATCCAAAGTGCCCTGTACAGTAACAAGACAGGATGGAAGTGAGACAACGCGGGGGCATGGAATGGGCAAACGTGACAGGCCGCGATTGCCATGAATGCCGGGCCAGATTATTAAACTGTCAAAATATTGCCACGTCAGTCAAGGTGAGAATGTGAAACCTAGTAGGCCGTGGTAAAACGGGGTGAACGCAACAAAACATTGCAGTACGTTAAAAAAAAAAAACATTGGCAAGACCTAACAAAACTTGAATACAGAGAAAAATTGGCCAAAATCCTACGGCGCACTACATTTCGGGCAAACGGGGCTGCCATGGCCGCCGGGAACATAGTGTAAACCTAGCTAGCATTGGGATATAGAGGAAATGCCTAGAGTCTGAAATACAAGACTATGACTAACTTATGAATGAGTCGTTTCTTCGGAAACCTCCTGCAGAGACAACACAGCAGGCCTGTATCAGCTGTGTATCAGAAAATGTAGGACTGCCTTGATGACTTTAGAAACGACCTTGAAAGAAACAACCTAATTTGTGGTTTGATGAATCACATCTTAGACTGACCCATCTTTCAAAGCCTACATACTGTACATGTACATGTACATGTATGGACCATACAGTCCTAGAAAGGCTAAATGCAGCCTGTTCATGAAACTCTTATCAAGAAACGTGTAAAGAATCATTGAGCGAAACTATAGGTGTAGATACAAGTTTGGGAAAATTCTTGCCTTTTACAATGTAGGATAATCAAGCACAAGTTTCCATGTACATTTCATCCTAAATCTGGAAAGTTCAGGCAGTTATTTTACTTCTTTTTCCAAAATGGTCTAGCCACATGCTTGTCAACTTGCACGCAGTGGCGGATCCAGGATTTTCCAATGGGGGAGGGGGGGGGGGGGGGGCGGAATATGAAAATCGCGTAGATGGTAATTTTCGTTCAACAGGAAGTGGGGGTTGAGAGCTGACTCAACAGCCCCAACAGCCCCTACCCCCCCCCCCCCCCCCTCCCCTCGAGCACCTCTTGGGGGGAACTTCAACCAATCTATATCGCTTCAAATTTTGTTATTTCGCTAGTCAGCCTGATACATGTAGATAATAATAATAATAATATGGTATGGCTTTAAACTCTGTTTTTGTGTGATACAACTTACAAGAATATATTGCTCTCGCTATGACAATATTGGACTCTTATAAATGTAATGCTTCCTTGGAGAAATCTAAATTGTTTAAACACATTTGTGGCTTAATACACACAGTAAATAAAGATCGATTGATCGATCTGTAATTGAAAACAAGTCAGATCAGAACTTGGAACCAGCATGATGTGAACCTGCATCTACTGCTTGCTGAGATCTTTATTTACTGGGTGTAAGCCACAGATATGTTTTAACAATATTGGATTCGTCTTTGACTCGCCCAATATTGTCATAGGCAAAGCTAATAAGTAATATAGACCCTACATGTATATTCTTGTAATTGTATCAGTAGGGGATAGGGGGTCTGGTCCGAGAATATATAAGTATCGTCAGCATAAACGAAGATCGTCTCCGTAAAGGCGGACAGACGCATCCTAAAAAATAAGGATCGTCCACAAAAATTGTTGGTGACAATTCCTATTTCCGATCCGCGCGGTGGCGATGCAAAAAATGGATTTCACGATGATGATCCTTGAATTGATGCAATTCACATTCACTTTGCACAAAAACTTTCACGTTATAAACGATAAATCCTCGGAAAGACGGACACTTAACCCATAAAAGTAGACGGTGAACGGGTGGTATTTTAATACATAGGATCTGTTTTTCGCAGATCGGGAACCCTGCGCCCACAGAGTAAGTTACCACAGAGCGCCAAAGAAAAAAAACATCCGCGAAAAAATGTAGACGATCCTTATTTTTTAGGATGGATTTGTCCACGTTTACGAGGATATCAGGGCTGTCAACCCTCCAGCATTTGGAAGGAGTCTGACGCAACGTACCACGCACATTCTCCTGCTGTCCCACCAGCTTTTTAAGTCGTAGCGGGCGGGAGATTCCAGCCACCACGCCCTTCCTCCCGCACTCTTGAGTCTTGACACTTGTTGGTTGGTCCTCCAAAATACCAAGTACCAAGAGAGAGCGGGAGGAACGTAGAATCTCCGCTCAGTCCAAACCATGGTTACATCGCGTAACATCTCCGCGTACGAAAAGAAACCCCCAATTCAATTACACATTATAGTGAATGAAAGTATGGCTAGCCATTCGCGCAAAAAAAACCGGAAGTGAATACACGTTATAGTCGATGGCAATATCGCGGAGACAACGTGCATGTTTTTTTTTTTTTTTTTTTGTTTTTTTTGAGACAACGTGCATGTTGTCTCCGCGATATTGTCATTGACTACAACGTGTATTCACTTCCGGGTTCTATGGCGCGAACAGCCACCCATATTACTAGTCAATGGCACATATCGCGGAGACAGCGTGGCTCAAGCTGCAAGTCGCGCATTGGCTTAGCAACATGCGTACTTTATGCATACACTTGCATATCGCGCGATACAGCTGTTTGTCTGAATTTAGCAAAACAACATCACTCTGCGTGGACGTCTTTTTCGTCGATTTTGACCAAAATGATATGATACCGCGTTTTGGAGGGGCTGTAGACCTATCTTTTGATAGAAACATCGGTGAGACTTTAATTTGAAATGTATTATTCTGATTACATTTTTTATTCAAATATCAAACAAAAATGGTGAAAAACGATCCCAAATTGAAAATTAAAAAATCGTTCAGACACCCTAACTTTATTCTTTAATCCTCGTTTAAGCGGACGATCCTCATTCTTGGGACTAGCACCCCTACTTTCACTTTGTATCACACTCTAAGCCATCCAATATTAGGCCCATATAAATATAATGATAGTGAAACTGAAACTTGAAAGGATGCCATAGAGTTCTAAGTTAGATCTAATAACATTTAGCAGTCATGTGAATTCATGAGTGACACGGTGACAAATCATCTCGCAATAAAAAAAATATTAATAATTTTTTAGAGAGAAATAGACTGGTTACTTGTGAAAAGTTAAGTAAAATTGTTGTTAGCAAATATATACTGTTACATAGCCAATATAATTACCTCATAGATCTCGATTCTTTCGACATTGGTGACGCCATTTTGGCAATTCTAAGCCAAATTCTGCCGGGTGGATGTAATCTGTCACTTCACCTGTCTACAATGAATTGCATGCACAGTAGGCTAGTACTGTGTCGACAGATGGATGATAGATAACTGAAGAAATCGAATGTATACTGCGGATAGTATGGTATCGCTAAATAGGAAATCGAATGAGCAATTATTGATTTCAATTTTAGGAATCGAAAAAAACAAAAACCATTTGTGTTGGTTTGTAACTTTGTATAGAAATAATAACTCAACTTGAAAGCTGCCAAGAAAAAAAATGGTCATAAATGCAGAATTAATTATGCTTTTACTGAACATATTTCATTTGACAGCCGTGATTTCTTTCTGCATTGAAATTAAATATTTTAAATATATACCGTAGTATACATTAGGCCTACATTCGATAGGAGTTTTTGTTCATTTGATTGTTTTTTAAAGTTTTTTTTTAATGATGTTTGCTTGTTTTGGGGGTTTTTTTCTCTGTGTTTTCCCCACCGTTAAAAAGCATTCATCAAAAGGCATGATCGATGTCTGTGAAAAGGGAAACCAAGATATTGCTCAATAATTACACACAACAATGTAAAACTTATGTCTTCTGTTTTGATATGTCATAGGTTTATGGCTGAATTGTGATAATGTTTCAGACATATTGTTTTGTTTAAGTTTACAACACAGAAATGCAAATATTCAAACAACTTTAACCTCTAACTGTGAACAAGCCCAGCTTCTATAAGGTTTCCTCTTTCTTTCATGTACAGAACATGATCTTACATAATGAGTAACTTTTTTTATATAATTTCTTTAGTTAATAACAAGAGTCGTATGTTAAACAGGGGCGGATCCAGCCGGCGGCAAGAGGGGGGGGGGGCCAAATCTTGAGAAAATATTTAGCGGCGAACGGCGAATGAGCGGGGGGGGGGGGGAGGTGGGGATGGATAAGAGCACATTATATTTGTTTTTGGGGGGTCCAGTATTTTGCGCCGACTCAGCCGGCCGGTGAATATTAAAGCGGGGGGGGGGGGGGTGGGTGCTGGAGAGGAGGACCACTAATTTCTTCTTCTTTTTTTCGAGGGGGGGGGGGGGTGGGGAGGTGAAGCGCCGTTTTAGCATGACACTCTCACTTTCACCTATCCCAGATAACCCTAAGTTTTTTGTTGCTGCTTTATAATGTGGTTGATAATGCATGATTAAAATAAATAGAGAGAGAGAACCACCATGATTATGCAATGGTTTAGGGTTTGTATAATGTACATTTGAAACCATTTCTTAGCGTCTCAACACTAACTTAATAGGCCTAGCGAAACTATTTTTGAGGAAAAGCATTATACTGAACTGAATAAAGAATAATAACTTTATATTGGCTCGTAGTCGTACTAGTGACTGATACGGGTTAAAGGACAATGTGGTATCGGCACAGTAAGATTGGGTATTTGTATAGAGGTATTCCAAATGACATTCTGATAATCAACATTTTGTTCTGTTATCATACGCATAATACAATTGATCTTTATGATTTCTTAATAAAGTGACATAGCTTCTTAAATTCTCCCCCTGCAAATAAAAAGAAAACAGGGTTATTTAATAAAAGGATCATGCGACAAAATGATCATTGTGATTCAAAATAATTGATGCAAGGATTTTTTTTTTTGAATAAGCAATGCTTTTCACCAGAATCTTCTTTGTAAAAAACGACTTTTACAAATCTCAGCCATGCCATTCTGCCGCTGTGTTGTAAGATCACTTTCAGATTAGGAGAAGTGTATTCTTTAATGAGTATTTTAAATTGAATGGAACGTCTCAACTCAGTAAGCATGGCTGAGATCAGTTGTAAAAGTTATTTTTACAAAGAAGATTCTGGTGAATAGCAATGCTTATTCAAGCAAATATTCGCATCAAGTTGAATCACAATCATTATTTGTCGCTTAATCCCTTTTAATGACCTTGTTTTCTTTCTCGTTTGCAAGGGGAGAAGAAGATATGTCACGTTAAAGACATCATAAAGATCAGTGTTGTATGCGTATATACACAGGCCCCGCGGAACGTTTATCAAAGTAGGGGGCGGGGGGGGGGGGGGGGGGGGGGGGGGGGGGGGGAGGGATGCAAATTTTTAAATTTTCGAGGATAAAAAAAAAGTGCTCAGGGGGGGGGGGGCTGCTGAGTTAGTTTTCAGATCGTGTTTACCCGCCCTCTTGTTAAAATAAGTATTATTACAGAGGGACTTAATGTCATAATGAGCAAAATTGCGATATTATAGATTTGAAGAAAAAAAAACATATACTGGCAAATACCAAGTGTTTATTGGGGTATAAGAGAAAAAACGAAGAAAACTGAATAGGAAAAAAATCCATCACTATTCTCCCATTACTATTAAGGAATTTAAGTAGTTCAAACTTTGAATGAAGTTTTGTGGAAAAGAGTTAAAATAATGCCCAAATTTCCATCTTTCCCATATCATTTTTTCTTTATGAAATTTAGTCTACAAATACAGACTATTTTACAGATGTTTTCATTATTTCCATCTAAAAGAAAGGCGATCGGGCAAACACGAGATTCAAATTTATATATGAATAATTTGTTGTTGTTTAGTCTTGTAGCCGAGAAATAATTTTAAATGGATATTGATAATAGTCTTAAATTGTCCCTATAATAGATTATATGAGTTGCCGATATAAGACTACATCCCGTTTGGCAGCTGAACAATCGGACACAAATTCAATGAATGATACCGTTGCGATTTACGTGGTATCGTTGACGCGAAAATAAAAAATTGATAGCGTCTGTGTCTTTATCTATTTACATAGGCCTATACATTTGCATGCAGTCGATGGTCAACATCTAACTACATGTGTAATTTGCAATCAGATCAGGGAGGGGGATGGTCAAGAGGGCACGTGTATCCCCTTCCCCTCACCCCCAAATAATGCGAGAAACCATGTATTATTAGATCTGCCTCTGATCTTCCTCTCCGTTTTCATTTTGATATCTGTTTCAATCTCCTCTTCTTGGTTATTCCTTCGCTGTTCATCTTTTTGTCTCTGTAGGTCTCTCTTCCTATCTCCGCTTTTCTTATTCACTTTACCTCCAATGTTTTTTTTTTCTTCTCTCTCTCTGTCTCCAGAACTTCTAGAGCTCTGCACCCATCACTGACATATACACATACACACACACAGGCGCGTATGCAGGGGGGGGGGGGGGGGTTAAACCCCCCCCCCTTGAGTTTTTTTTATGTGTATGTTTTGTGTATGATTTTTGTGAACCCCCCCCCCCTTTATATTTGTTTTTGTAATAAAAAATAAAAAAAAAAAATTATGCCAATGGCTGACCTAAAAAAGGTGACATTACCCCCCCCCCCCCCCCCCCCCCCCCCCCCAACGGAACAAAATGACAAATTTTCAAATTTCGAGACCAGAAAAAAAAAAAGGTGTCCTCTTATAAATTCATCTCTTTCTCTCTCTCTCTCTCTCTCTCTCTCATTTATTCATCTGTCTATGTGTGTCTTTCTCTCTTATAAATTCATCTCTCTCTCTCTCTCTCATTCGAACATGTCCAGATCCTCCCACCCCCCTCAATCTCTTTCCTTTATTATTTCTCTCCCCCCCCCCCCTCCTCTCTCTCTCTCTCTCTCTCTCTCTCTCTCTCTCTCTCACATACACACACAAAAACAGCTGTAGTCAACGAAACAGAAGATGATTGAATGACAAATTATCTCCATTTCCATCTTCAAATTAGTTTAATTCTCTCTGTACATTGACTTTAAAAAAAACACTCCAACTTTAGCTAAACCATTCCAATGAAAATAAGAAGTGCACACACACCAGGGCCCGATTTCACAAAACTTGTCATCGGTGACAAATGACAGCTCTTGTTATAAGCTACTGAAATCCTTGCTTCTGATTGGTTATCAGCAGATTTGCCACTGACTTTTGTCATTTGTCATCGAAAAAAGGCTTTGTGAAACGGGTCCCTGAAACAGCTTTGCAATGTGAAAGAATACAACGAAAACGCTCGAGTATAGAATATAAATATCACACAGTAAGAGATTAATAGTTTGAATATACATTTGTCAGGACAAAACAATAACTCAAGAAACAGAATAATCATTTAAAACAAAAACAGTGGACGATTTTCTACACTTTACAGAGCAAAGGCAAGCAGGAGTATATACATTTATTTTTTCTTCACATGCACCATACCATAAAATACATCAACAATAATTTGCAAAAAATTTGGCAATTCAAAAAAGAAAAGTATTACACTTTCAAATACTTTTGTTTAACTCCAATACCGAGTACATACATTAGAATATGAAAAAGAAGAATACAGTGTTAGGTTGGACAGTTGGGAATCAACAGAGGGCAGCAGAGCATATACAATCATGCATATATAGCCTATTGAGAGAGAGAAAGAGAGATAATTTTAACACTCATACCTGTGCATGCTCAAAAAATAATTCATGGAGCTCTAATACAGAGTAATTCTCTCCCATATTAATAGAAATTTGAGAACCAACTTCTGTGACTTTCCACGACTTTCTAAGAATCATTTTGAAATACTTTTTCAGTGACTAGATAAGTACCATTTTTTGTTATGGGTTGCGGCATCCTAGCATTGTATATATACCATGCAGTGATATACATTTATTTCTTGTATTTCTTGTGTTTCTGATGGCCTCCACCGCCACTCACAATTCCTATGACTTTCCAGGTTTTTTCATGACTTTCTAGTTTTTTTCTATGAAATTGATCTTTGAGCAAATTGGCATGCGCATGTGACAATTATCGGTTTTATTAGGCTATAGCTTTTCAGGAATACAAATGAAAGTGTGCTTCAGAACACAATAAGCTTGTGAAAACAAGTTTTACACTGCAATTGATTGATATACTACGCAAAATATATAATCTTCATACATTGTATTCAAGTCTGAAACTGTTTTCAATATCTTTACTTTACTGATACTCCCAAAGAAAATACATTCTTTATTATTAAAAATTCACAGTAGTTATTTAATAATAATTATTATTTCAATTTTAAGAAACACGGAAACTTCAAATGCATACTTTCCCTCCAATTTGGCAGCTTTGAGATACAGTAGGTGCTCTGAATACTGATGAATAGTAATGTGCATTTTAAAATTGCTAAGTGCTAAATGACAATAGCTAAACGATCAAAAATCATATGACGGAGGAATTTCAAAGGGTTCCATTTTTAGACAAATTCTTGTAGTTCACAAATAACCTTAATCGCAAATAGAATTCATCATAACAAGAACTGTAAATTTTGTCATGTAATTTTTTTCTCAAAACTACTATTCTTATTATAAGACATCAGTATTGCTTACAATTTTCTCTCATCTAATCCCTTTCTGACATACTGTACACCAATTTTGTTTTATTTTAAATGATATACGACTACCCTTCCACTACAAGTTCAATTAGAGACCAAGAAATGTCTTCATGTCGTAACCCTGTGTTACTAATAGTAACTAAATATACAACACTACATGCACATTGCATGTGTGTCTGAATCAAGTTAATTAACTGACTTCTGAATTAAAAAGGCATAGTAGTGGGCTCTCATGGGGAAGTTTACACTACTTGGGTGTTTGGGTGTTGTCATTCACCAGAATTAGCCTTCAGTTTTATGACCAACAGGCCTTACATTGTATGTAATACTCTGCATTTTCCATCAAAAGCCCCAGAAGTCAGTATCTTACATTTCCATCACCCGAAGACTCTCCCGAGAGACCAGGGGGTATTTTACCGATGGAACAACAGCTTTGTGCAGGCTTTTACACCCATAAATGGTATTTCCACCAAGTCTGGTGTCAGCGAATTATAACCAACTTTACGTGGAAACCGATGACCATCTCCCTGTGTTAGAGAAATGACCCAATTCCCAATGGAAATGAATACAAAAAAAACATCTTTCCAACATACAGTAAACTTAATTTAAAGAGTTGCTCACATTTTGCACAAGTAAATAAAGAATTTGTATGTCATAAAGAGAAACGACATGAAAAATATATTAAAAAGCACTTGCGGTAAAATAATAACAATAATATACAAATATACGCTGTCTTGAGAGGTTCTGGTTAAAACTATGGGCAAGAGGTGACTCCAATAGTACTATAGGAGTCACTGAGGCCCATAGTTTTTAATTACAGGTACATGTACCTCAAAAAGAAGGCAGGGTTTATTTGTTTTATATCCTGCATTAATAATTTGTTTTCAACAACAAAAGAAAAAAACAATTACATTTATAGATTAGTATTAACTATTATTTACAAATTTACAAATAATTTTTTTTTTTTAAATAAATTTAAAAAAAATTAGCTCCAAAGTAGTACTCCCAAATAGTACTATTTTAGAGCAACTTTAAAATGGTTGAAATATTTCTGGTCACATGAAGAACTCACAACCAACCAAAAACCGATCTAATATGTCTTATTTACCCAGGGTAGCCTCATCAGTATTAATACTGTTCTCTCCGAGGGCCCTGTATGGTTACTGCACATTAAAATAACACTTAACAAAATGTTTTTAGGATGAAATACAAAGCTTGTGGTAGATGCAGAGCTGCCAACCTTGTGTGACCAAAAAAAGGAACCATGATGGCAAAAAAAAACAGGAATTTGTTAAAACGAAACTCACAACCACGCACGACACACTTCCAATGCAGAAATGTCCATTCCTCATGCTGTTTTTCCATACAAGCAGGTATTTTTTGGTGGTTATTTTGGTATTATCGGCATTTCATTCTTTTTGAGAATATTTTTCTCTTCAAGTATGTTTTCAAGTATGTTTTAAAATTAGTTTTCTATTGAATTTGTGATCAAATCAACATTTTAGGGCAGTTGTTTAACGTGCGGTATGTAAACAAAATAAAAAAATCAAATAAAATAAAAATAAATAAAAAAAAAATTTTTATGAAGAAAAACATACTACCATAATTTGGAGGAAAAAAACAGAGTAATTCCTGCAAAAATGGAATGGTTGGCAGCTCTGTAGTTGTAGAATAAGATATTTTCCTATCTGTTTTTATATTTGAGCAAACATATTTGTACCTCTACAATATATTTTGTCTGCATGAGACAGAGTGAAAAACAAATATTCTACATTTTCGGTTAATATCAAGCTATCGTCAATATCCATGTAATCTAGTCTCCAATAACCTTCCTTACTTCATATTTTCCCCCTAATGACACCGACAAAGTCAAGACCAAATATATTTGTATGAAATGTTCCCAAAGTAACAATACACAATACAAGTCTTATCGTACTATCCAACAATGCGACAACTGATATACAGTCGAGCCTGTCTAAAGCGACCGCCAAGGGAAACACAAACAGTGATCTTTGTATGCAGATGGTCTTTGTAGACAGGTTCCTTTAGTACATGTTTCAATAAGAAACCATTTTCAAGGGAAACAAAAAATGTGGTCTCTGTAGACAGGTGGTCACTAAAGCAGGTTTGACTGTACCTAGATATTATTGATTTAAGCCACCACTATTTCCCAACAAGTGAATCTGAGTCAGAGCCTAGTGGAAATGAATACAAGGCATTGAATGACGCATCAACAAAGTTATTCGACACAGAAAGTCTACATCATTCAAAAATAAAGTTCAAATATTCAAAGAAGTTACAAAATGTAGCTTCCGTTCAAGGTACTGTTTGATATCTATAAAATCTCCTTTATAACCAAAACATCAAATGTATTTTCAAAATATCAGTACAATAGTATTGTTCAAAAGACACTTCAATAAATTTAAACAAAGAATTGTAAAAGCTTTGTTATCCTGATAAACCCCAAATAGCACTGTTCAAATGACAGTTAAACTGATTAGGAAAGAGTACTGTTTTGTTTGTGCCTGTCTGTTCCGATCAACTCGCAATGTTATAGATTTCTTATCTCCTAATGTCAAAGCCCTATAACTATAGTGCAGTGAACCCAAACTGAAACATTATAATGAATTTCATCATACATGTATTATGTAATGTCATGAATCCAAAGCTAAAATAAGGTTCCTGAAACTTTGTAGAGTTTCTCTATAACCTCTTTAATAAAGCTTGCACTAGCAAATATTCAACAGAACTCCCAGCCAGAAAAGCATATTGATTCAAATGATTTGTAAGGAAAAATCCAGATAATTTTGGTCCCACTATACATTTTACAGAAGACAAATGTCAAATATCACATTATGGAAATGTGTATTTCTCTCAAAGGTTCTATGTAGTACTATTCAACAAAGTACTGTTTGTTTACAGTACTCATATTGTGACAAGTGTTAAGAAACAAAGCAAAACGAAGAGTTTTGTAAGAATAAAATTTGATAAATGTCAGAATATGGTTTAACGACAGGGTATTCTAATGACACAACTTCAGATTTCTACATGTATATACTGCCATCTGTGTTGATGGGTCGACAGCCATATCCCAGAATGCATCAAGAACTGATGATGCATGCATGATGATGCTTGGGTACAGAAAACAGAAAATTACTCCACGTACACCTTCATCAAAAGAATAAAGATGGTGAAATTGCAAATACATTAAGCAGTGGTAGCAATGTCAGTAAGATACCATGCCATTAAAAATCAGCACTTTTAAAAGAAATGCAGTCAGAGTTTTTGGTAGAGAGTAACCTGTGCATTCTGGACTACAAAAGGATTTTCTACAATGGACCGATCTGGCTACAAGCCAACATCAAAATGTCTTTTTTCTCTTTCGGAAACCTGAGCTCCCTCCCAGCATGCCTTGCCCGTTCAATCTCCTCGTCGGCGACCGCCAGCTCGCGGGCGATGATGTTGGCCATTTCCTGCTCCCGCGAGATCCAGTCTAACGCCATCTGGGACCGCATGTCGTCGTCGAGCGCCCGGTGAGAGTAGTGGGCGAGGACCTCCTGTCGCGAGCAGTCGCGCTCACGCATCGCTTTGAGGCTGCCGTTCCAGTGGAGTAGTTGGAAGACTGTCATCAGTTCTTGGAACTCCAGCATGGACTTGCCACGGTTGGCTTCGAGCATGAAGCGGAAGGCACCCAGACTGGTGCTAGGGTCTTGCTCGTCTTCAATGGGGCCCTGGAATGCGGATTGTATTGAGAAGGAGAGAAAGAAATGGTCACAATCTGATTTCTTAGAATCCTTGACTGGTGAAAGTATATTACAAACATTGGTCACATTCAAACTAATCTGAAGTCAAAGGAGACTGGTGCTAGGGTCTTGCTCATCTTCAATGGGTCCCTGCAATGTGGGTTGTATTGAGAAGGAACAGAAAGAAGTGAGCACAATCTTGATTCCTCAGAATTCATAACTGGTGACAGTATCTTGCAAACATGTAATAAGACCCTGCAATGTGTATTGTGTTGGGAAGACAAAGAGAGAAATGGTCACATTCAAAATGCAAAGAAGACTGGTGCTAGGGTCTTGCTCGTCTTCAATGGGACGATGCAATGTGGATTGTATTGAGAAGGAGAGAAAGAAATGAGCACAATCTGATTCCTTTAGATTTTTTGACTGGTGACAGTATCTTGCAAACAAAGACAAAGAGAGAAGTGGTCACATTCAAAATGCAAGAAGACTGGTGCTAGGGTCTTGCTCGTCTTCAACGGGGCCCTGCAATGTGGATTGTATTGAGAAGGAAAGAAAGAAATGAGCACATTCTGATTCCTTTAGAATTTTTTTTAAACTTCCACTGACCTCCATTAAAGACTGCATGCTCTATTAACTTTCATTGTTACACAGTGAGCACAAGGCTAGTAATAATGATTGTTCTTTAATATAAATCACACTAAAGGCTGACTAAGGGTGCTACATGTATTATCTCGTACCATTACCAGTATACATGTTTTAATGGACATGAGAAACATTTAAGAAACCAAAACAAAAAAGAAGAGAGAGATAGAGAGAATAGAAATGCAATATCACTACTTGGTGAGATCTTTGTTTACAGCTATTGTACAAGAACCTGTGATTCTGATAATGGTGTAATCATCAACATCAGCTTCTGAATACTTTACTTTTGTATGAACAGCCCTGTGATCATATTGCTTAAAAACAAATACCTCAAAATATTTCTTGGTATAAGGTATATCTTGCTATCCAATTCCTTTATTATCCTTCACTACTGTATTTAGTGAGATTTAAAAATTCACATTTGAAGAAAAAATGAGATTCTGATTGCAGTTCATATAATTCTGTTTGAACCTCACTAACTTATCTACGAGTGAACATCAAATATTTCTTGGTGTATTAAAGGTTCATCTTGCTATTCAATTCTGTTACCATTCTTTATGATTTAGTGAGATTTAAAAACAAAATAAAATATAAAGAAAAATTAGATTCTTAATGCAGTTTAAAAAAATATGTTTGAACGTCACTTATTTATCTATATGTGAACAGCCCCATCATGAACTCTTTGTTTGTTTGTTTTTACCTCAAATGATTTCTTGGCATCATCGACGGCTTGCTGTGAGAACTTGTCTGTGATCTTCCTGGTTGGGTGTTCATTGAAGACTGAGTTCATGAGGGCTATCTTAGCTGCGCTCCTTCTTGCCTCTGCCTTGGTGGGACAGTCCTGAGTAGATAAAGATAAATATATACATGTACAGCGCTTAGAGACTTTGGTGGTAAGTGCTTTATAAGCACCGTTTTTATATTATTATTATTATTTAATGTAGAGAGAGAGACAGTCAGACTGACATACATACAAAGACAGGGCCAGAGGAAGAGATAGAGAAAGAGAGACAGACCAAACAGGGCGAGAGGAAGAGATAGAGAGGGGGTATGGGGAGGAGAGACAGAGAGAGACAGACAGAGAGAAAGAGAGAGATAGTAAATTTGATTCCCAAACATTCTAAGGTACATTGAATAATGTACACAAAATATGAAAATGGTTGAACTATGCATGAACCTAATCTCTTCTGCTTGTCCCCTTCACTTTCCTTTGTTCTATTAATTGGCAATAATCATAATGTGATATCAAGAGTCGTCATCCCTTGTCCACAATTTCTTCTTTTTCTCTTTCTCTCTTTTTCTCTTTTTCTCTTTCTCTCTTGTTTCTTTCTTTCTTTTTTTCATACCCATTTATTTATTCATTCATCCATCCATTTCTATATTTCTGTATTTACAATGTATTAATTTATTCTTTTGATTGTTTTCTTTTTTAGAGGAAGGGGGATAAACCATCTTGTCATTCAACAAACATAATTGTTTAACATCCTAACAACCCTTCCCCCACAAAAAACACAACAAAAGCAACAACAGCAACAAAATAGAGAAAATTTTGAATTTTCAGGGTTTATGAATTTTACCTGAAAACTTGCAAAACAGCTTCCCCCGGGGAGGGTTACAAAGCAGACGTATGGTGCACTGGACGAGGGGACGGACTCATATACAACGATCGGGCCGTTCTTTAATTCTGTTCCTCTTGCTGCTTTCATCTGCCAGAATTCTTGCAAAGCCTCAACGACGTTTACTGGTGAGAAAAAGAGGAAGAGGAGAGGATTAGTCTTCATGTTTCATGAAATAGTACTTATAATAATCATAATAAAATAACAAGATGGACTTCCAGTAAGGGAGATACAGTACAGTGTAATGTAATAACATATACAATGTACTTACCGTACATATATTTTTTAATTATTTTATGAAAGACTTCTTAAAAATAATGATCATGAAATGACAATAAAAGGAGGATCTAAGGTTAAACGCTCTTTTCAGGACATACCTTGGGCTGTATTCTGAATTCTGAATACAATGTAATCTTTAATGATAGGGAAAAACAATGTTCATTATCATAATTTCAAATTGCACGGAATTAACAATAATCATTAGTGCTTGTGCAGATATGTCTTTATTTTGATTTGTTATGATTGTTATAATGACAAATAAAAATTGTTTTACTTCTATAACATAAACATCGCTTTCAGAAAAGCATCCCGGGAGGGTCCTGAGAGGTGTGAGATGTTAAACTCAAGTTTCAAGTATCATGAAGGTACATGTACATGTACAAGTATTCAAGGAATTTCCACCAACATGGTGCCAATTTATTTTGTCTGGGTTATATATTAATCATTTCAAATTTAGATGTACTATGTACATATGTACCGGTATGTACCTGCAAAAATGAATTATATGTAATAGTCCTGAATCTACATTAAATGTGATAGATAAAGGTTGACTAGCTTTTAGCAAATACTGTAGAACTCATGTACATTATGTACACGTACTGTACATGTTGCGCTATTAAGATGTACAGAACATGTATACAGTACCAGGACATTGTACATTACTACTCTGTACAAACATGTTAATTGTACATGTAACTTATTTCTTTAACTTTTTTTCAATTTTTAAATCAAACACATAATGTACATGTACTGTATGCTGATTGTAAATTTTGCTAAGTTGTACCAAAACAACATAACATTCATATATCAAAAGTCCTGGGGTTACACTTTAATACAGACAGTGGAAGATGGGAAGAGTAAGAGAGAGAGAGAGAGAGAGAGAGAGAGAGAGAGAGAGAGAGAGAGAGAGGGGAGAGGGGGTGGAGAGAAATACAGAGAGAAAGAGAGAAAAAAATGAACAGACAGAGATAAACAGAGAGAAAGAGAGAACAAAGAGACAGACAGAGATAAACAGAGAGAAAGAGAGAACAAAGAGACAGACAGAGATAAACAGAGAGAAAGAGAGAAAAAAATGAACAGACAGAGATAAACAGAGAGAAAGAGAGAAAAAAAATGAACAGACAGAGATAAACAGAGAGAAAGAGAGAACAAAATGAACAGACAGAAATAAACAGAGAGAAAGAGAGAACAAAATGAACAGACAGAAATAAACAGAGAGAACAAAATGAACAGACAGAGATAAACAGAGAGAAAGAGAGAACAAAATGGACAGACAGAGATAAACAGAGAGAAAGAGAGAAAAAATGAACAGACAGAGATAAACAGAGAGAAAGAGAGAACAAAATGAACAGACAGAGATTAAACTGAGAGAAAGAGAGAACAAAATGAACAGACAGAGATAAACAGAGAGAAAGAGAGAACAAAATGAACAGACAGAGATAAACAGAGAGAAAGAGAGAACAAAATGAACAGACAGAGATAAACAGAGAGAAAGAGAGAACAAAATGAACAGACAGAGATAAACAGAGAGAAAGAGAGAAAAAAATGAACAGACAGAGATAAACAGAGAGAAAGAGAGAAAACAGAGACAGACAGAAATAAACAGAGAGAAAGAGAGAAAAAATGAACAGACAGAGATAAACAGAGAGAAAGAGAGAAAAAAATGAACAGACAGAAATAAACAGAGAGAAAGAGAGAAAAAATGAACAGACAGAGATAAACAGAGAGAAAAAAGAGACAGACAGAAAATGTACTGAACTTGTCCCAAGATTGTGAATTTATCAAGCTTGCAGCACTTCACATTTTTCAAAGTCTCTGGAGAACTTTTAAGTATTTAAGGCAGTAATAAAGGAGTCTAGAAACGGGCAAGGCAGTAGTCAGAGGTAATAAAGGAATGCAAAGGGCATGACAAATCCTATTTTGAATAGGACAATGGAAAAAGGAGACTTGAAGGTTAATAGTCTACAGATATCAGACTGCTTACACATATACATCTAGGTGTGAATGGATAAAAATAACTACCGGTATTTAAACTGTAGACTACGACACTAGGCATATATATTTATGTGCATAACACAGAAAGTGCATTACGATACATTAATGTTACTACCCCAAAAATAATCATAGTCAAAACCATGATCACAATGCTTTTTGATGCAAAAATGCCATGATGATGAAAGCCAAGTAAAAAATTGTACAAGTATGTACAGGTGTGCTGTACAGTGTACACATGAATTCCTAATGTACACAATTGTATTGATTGTAACATTTAGAAGGTACCCTGGCCTGTAGGCTTGCATCTCTTTGCTCACAAAGAGGTTTTAACAATGTGTAATTTTAGATTTTAACTAAGAAGAATGCTATCAAAAAAGAAACTATGAGAAAAACACACAATTAACTCCCATGTTAAATAGGTCTACATGTTTTACACGTCTTTTCATACAGACTACACAGACTACCGCAGTAGCGAAACTAAGCGGCTTGACATCTCCCCCTAACCATTCCACAATCCATAAGAAGACAGCATTGCACCGTTGAATTGTTATTCAAATCTTTCTATTCATATGGTACACAATGGACGGCTCCTACATGTAGGCTGATCTTGTTTTTGTGTTGTACCAACACAGGATTATTTAGTTCTTCAAGGATGCGCCTCCTTTCTCAGAAGGAAATATATTGATAAACTTGTTTTCCTCGAGTGTGGAAACATGGAAAGCGAGCTTGAGCCCATGACAATTGAGTAGCCTGAATAATACAACTTGTAGGCCCACATGCACATACATGTAAACATTTATTAACAACTAATTTTAAATATATTCATACTCCTTGTAAATTTGATGTGTTTTTTTTGTGTACATGTACATGTACATGTATGCAACTCAAGAATGAAAGGTGGATTGGCTGAATTACGTGTTCTCCAAGGATGAGTTGCCTTTCTTAGAAGGAAATATTTTGATAAACTTGTTTTCTATGAGAAAGGGAAAAATGGAAATTTAAGTGAGTTTGAGCCGATGACAAGTAGACTAAATAATACCTGTAGACCAACATAAACATTCAGCAACTAGACCACCTGTATATTTGATGTTTAATGGTGTTTTTCATTCATATTAACTGAAGGAAGAAAGCTGGACTGGTTGAATTAGGGCCTTTGTCGAACACTTTTTAAGATGTAAGCTTTAATATGTCACATTTTCAAGACACATAAATAGGGACATATCTATTTTTCACATGTATACATGTGATGTACATGTACTTGGTAAAAAGGGTATGAATATTTGCTATCAATCGCAACTATGAGAGATAGGAGACTGCAAGCTTGCGATTGATTGGAGGACTTGAGATTGATTTGGATCAATCACAACTCTTTGTACGACTGGGCCCAGTGTACACATTACATACATTGTACATCACATGATGGACATGTAATTTACAATGCAATGTATTGTATATTTATACATACAGAACTACAGGTAATAATTTGAAATGTCTAACTGATGGACACTCTAAACTGCAATACTTTTTTTCTTTTTGGGGGTATTGCAACCAAAATTAAAACACACAAACAAAACATCAACAACTATGTTAAATAATTCAGTACAGTACAGTGCAATGCTGTGTTCATATTTTAGCCTGCTTTTAGGCATGCACACGTAAGCAATACTCAAGAAAAATCTGTAAACAAACAAAAACAATACCAACAAAAATATGCACTGTGCACACATTGTTTTTCTCATATCATCTTGTTTTAATAGCCCACCATCCCATACCCATCCCACACATGTACATCAATACTGAATGGAAAGAGTAGGAATGCGATGGTGCACGTTTACATGTCATTGTGATCCGAAGCCTCTCTTTATTTACGCAGACAGTGCGTGACCTTGCTCCCTCCAACACATCAATTCTCTTCATCATAAAAAATATGCAGCGTTTGTCTCCTCTATATTCTCCTTGCCCCTATTCATTTCTACATGTAGCATACATGTACATGTATTTGTTGTATGGAAATGACTTATGCCTCATGCAGTCACACCTTCGCGTATTGCTGCGTATTTATGGCAAGCCGTTCAACATTTATTCCTTTTTCTTGATATTAAGAAATGATTTTCTGTTGTTTACAAAACAATGGTAATTCTTGATATGGCCAGAATTTGATTTCTTGATAGTAAGAAAAGGAATAAATGTTAAAATGGCTTGCCATAAATACGCAGCAATACGCAAGCCAAATACGCAAAGGTGTGACTGAGGAGTTTTATTTTCAGAAAAGCTACCATTAGGTACATACTGTACATGTACATGATGCAATGTCAGCAACAGTTTTGTTATTTTCTTTCATACTTTATGAGGCAGCAGAATAGAAAACATGAAACTATTATTAAAAGATCATTAAGAAAAGCTACCAGTGGTTTTTTCAATGTCAGCAAGTTTTGGCGTTCAACTTTTGTTGGTACGAGGCAAGATAATAGATAATTTATCAAGATAAATAGTGTTTTTTATGGTGTTTGTAATAGTTATCTTTGGTAGTCATAGCTACCTCCCCCTTCAATTTCAATTTCAATTTATTCATGTTTCCAACAAAACATTACAAATCGATTATAACATTTACAACAAATACATATTGGAAACAGAGGGGTCCACTAAAAAGCAATTCTTGTACAAGTGTGGACACCTCCTGAAAGAAAAATAAATAAATAAAGAGGTGAAATGGTTAGAATGAGGAAACTTGACCCCTTTTACTGCATACATGTACATGTACCTGTACATGTACAACATACATCTAATCTTGTGAAAGGAATCTCTAGGCAACCAACTTACCCCTTCCATAACCTTGCGTGTGTTTAGCGAAGCTGTTCACCACCGCATCCACCGCTTCCTTCAGCACCGCCTTGGCCCTCTGGTCCGTCATGTGACCCCCTTCCCCGCCCCGGGGGGAGACGCCGTGGGGCGGGAGACGCCCCTTCACAGTAGCCGCCAGGCTCATCGCTGCCTGGATCTGATCCTCGTGGAGAGGGGGAGGGGTTGCCGATAGGCCATGATGATTCTTCTCTTGGAGTAACGTTTAAAGTGACGCTTTGATGGTTGAACTTCTTGGAGTAACGTTTAAAGTGACGCTTTGATGGTTGAACTTCTTGGAGTAACGTTTAAAGTGACGCTTTGATGGTTGAATTTCTTGGAGTAACGTTTAAAGTGACGCTTTGATGGTTGAATTTATTCCAAATTAGGCAATTTGATTCCAATGCTTCTGATAAATTCTGGTTTACATTGTGGACTGCATGTACAAATTAAATTTCTTTAATTGAAAATGTCCCTGTAGAACATGTATGAAGACAGTCCTCCAATAGAATCTGTAGAAATAAACGAAAAACACAAAATTGGACAGGGATTACAATCAAGTGCATTCTTGCGACATTATACTGCACAAACACTCTGTAGTCTGTACACATAACAGCCCTATTACAGCTGTACATGTACAGGTATGTAGCAGTTCAGTCACTTCAGTGTCAACTTTGACATTTACATTTTTATTTTTGCTAGATGCATTAAAAATTGTGCATGAACAGAAAGTACAAAATAGCTGGAAAAATGGGTCCATGAATTCCAGGTGCAGTTCATTATGCTGTTCATGAATATGAATCTAAAGTGATTTTAGTATTCAACATGAAATCAACAAAGTCTTCAAATTGGCAATTACAGTACTTGATATTATTGTAATTTTTTATGTTTCATTCATACATGTACAGTAGTCTTTCGTGAAATATACATGTACAGGTATATTTAATTCTTTTAATTATTTCTTTTTAAAGTTGGTTCTATGAAAGAAAGGAAAATACAAATACATGTCCTGTAAATGTTGCCAATTTGAGGAGCAGAAGAATCATGTGTTAATAAAAAATATACATATTTGAATTGGATGTTGATGAACTCCTACTTCTGCAGCTCTGACAGTTTGAAAGTGAAATGACGCCCTGATCTGTTTGAAGCTCAGTCACTATGTTTTTTTAAATAATTTTTCCCGATTATATTTTGTTGCATCAGTGTTTTCAAACAATTATTGCCACACGTCTGATTGGAAAATTTGGGGTTGTAATATACAGAAATGAAAGAACAGAACATTTTAAATGTTGTCCCACACACAATAGAACAAAAGGTCCATCGGACTACAATTTACACCCCAAAAATAACAACTAGGGTAGTAGGGCCTATAAGTACAATAACAATACCAGCTACATGTACATGTATATTAAACAATAATAACTAGATCTACAACCTGTATAACAATAACAATAACAACCAGTTCGAATGACAAAAGAAACACATAAAATCTAAATTGAGGCAGTGCTCTTTTTCACAGAGAGTAGTTAACGAATGGAATGGTCTCCCATCAGAGTCGGGCTAACTCTGACCAGGGACAACTTGGCCCAGCTGCAAAAACGGTCAGTTTTTGCATGTTTAGGTTTAGGGTTAGGGTTAGGGTTAGGGTAAAATGACAAAAAATGACCGTTTTTGCAGCTGGGCCGAGCTGTCCCCTGGTCCGAGTTAGCCCGAATCCATCATACATGTGTCATGTATGTAGCAGAAAGTCCATCACTCAATTCTCTCAAGTCAAATCTTGACAAGTGCTGGACACTGAAGAAGGACAATTTGAATCTACATCTACATGTAAGGTGGTACTGGACAGGAGCAATTGGTATATATGTCCAGACTTCTGTGGCATCGCAAACTGTCAACAAACATCACAACTGAGGGTGCAGAGTTCAAAAATCAAATAAAAAGGTGCTCATAAAAGTACAGTGGGTCCATATGATGTTCATCCATAACTGCACAATGCCAAATGAATAGTAACCCACTAGCGGACACCGAGGGGCAAATAAGTTTTGTATAACTTTATGCTAACTTCCAAGGTAAGATAACTAAACCAAAATACACATTACAAGTAGATTCTAGGCCTTGGGCTTGACTTCTCTAAAAAGGAAAGAAAAGTTCCTTATCCAAAGCTTCCAAATGATTGCCAAATGTATTTGAGAGCTCCCAGTTAGACTAATTACACAACACAAATTGACAACATCTTGAGAAAAAGGAAAATCATATTTCGCAACAAACATCACACATGATTGTGATTTTGATTTTCAAGAAAGTCTGGAAAATGAAAGGGAACCAAAAACCAAAAGCATCGCATCATCACCAGATTCCAGAATTCAAACTTTTAGTTTTATCACAACAAGACTCAGAACAGAAGTTTGTCAAATTATTATTATTGGTCACAACACAACCGTTTCTTCTTTCTTTTTCAGATCATTTGCCTGTAGGTCTACTTCTTGCTCACTTTGATAAGATCATAAGCGAAAGTGAACATGAATATCACAACAGCTGAGCTGAGCCCATTCTCTTCGGGGAAGACACTGTCTGCCAGCTGCGCTGCCTCGGCTAAGGGGAGGCCCGGGCTAACTCGGCCCACGGGACTACTCGGCCCAGCTGGAAAAACTGGGCCGAGATGTCCCGACCTGATTAATCGATCGAGAGATACCAATGTGTATATGTTTGTGCTCTTTGTGACTTAATAATGCCCTTTCCAACCAAAATCTTTAATGGAATTGTGTTAAATGATACCAATGAAGACAATTTATAACTTATCTTTAGGTAAAATGACAAAAAAATGACATTTCGGACAATTTACTCACAGCTCGCAATCCGCATTGCCGCACGTACATTAAATGTGCGTTGTATCTACTCGGACAATTCGAGCAGTGTTTTCGTCGGTAAATCACTGCAAAAATATCATTTTTATCTCGTATGAAGGTCTATTTTTTATTCCTGACACAGATTTCATTATTGAGAAGTCGAATATAGTACATTTTAGATGAGATGGTTGATGTTTGTTCACATTCTTTCGTCCTGGCCGTAAATTAGCAGACTACTGCCTAGTGCTACCGCAGCAGCTCAGCTCAGTGTGCAGCTAGCCGTACAGCGCCGCCGGCCGGGTCGGCGGGGAAATTCACTGACTCGGCGCCCGTACCGGGCCGCTGCACTGCATTGCATGATTGTACTGCCCAATTTGATCGAGTGATGTGAGTATAACTAATCAAACTAGATCTATATCTACTGTATTATCATTATTCATTCCGAGTAGAATATCCAATTTGATTTAGTGACTAAACTAGACCTAGATCTATATCTACTGTAGCTACATCATTATCATATACTAGATTAGTCATTCAGAGTAGAATATTTGATTAATGAAGGAATGGAATTTTTCTTTTTCATAATCAGATAATCATATTTTACTCCTAAAAGTTAAAGACTTGATAAATAGCTAGATCTAACGTAAGGGCCTAGCCTAGTACTGTAAGAGAAGTGAGCTGAAGAATCGCCTTCTTCTTTTATTTTGGAGGGGCAGGCGCGTAGCCAGGGGGGGGGGGGCAGTGGGGGCGGTCGCCCCCCCCCCAAAAAAAAAAAGAGAAAAAAAGAAAAAAGGAAGAGGACGTAGGAAGAAAAAGGATTAAGAGTCGAGAACGGTACAACGAATCGTCTTCTTTCCCTAATTATTTAATGAAACATTAAAGCTTCCGCGCTTTGCGCGGGAAGGGGGGATGGAACTGAATTCAGATAAGGATTAAGAGTCGAAAACGGTACAACGAATCGTCTTCTTTCTCTAATTAATTATGAAGTGTCAACGCTTCCACGCTTCGCGCGGGAGCGGGGAAACTGAATTCAGACAAGGATCTAGAGTCGAGAATGGTAAAAGGAATCGTCTTGTTTCTCTAATTATTTAATGAAACATCAAAGCTTCCGCGCTTCGCACGAGAAGGGGACAGAACTGAATTCAGGTAAGGATAAAGAGTCGAGATCGGTACAAGGAATTGTCTTCTATCTCTAATAATTTATAAAACGTCAATGCTTCCACGCTTCATCCATCCCTCTAATCATCATCCCTTACATCATCAAAATTGTCTCCATCCCTCTCATCATCTCTAATTCTCCATCCCTCACATTGTCTCCATCCCTCTCATCATCTCCATCCCTCACATTGTCTCCATCCCTCTCATCATCTCCATCCCCCACATTGTCTCCATCCCTTTCATTATCAATATCGTCTCCATTCCTCTCATCATCTCCATCCCTCACCAATCCCTCTCATCATCTCCATCCCTTACATCATCAACATTGTCTCCATTATGTATTATGCCACATTGTGGAAATCCAATTTTATTTTTTTAATTCATTATTTATTTATAGTATGTACATATTTACAGGTACACAAGATCAGATATAAATCTGTTAACCCCCAGCCCCCCCCCCAAAAAAAAAATTGTAACATGCAGATGACACGCCACACCATTCCTTGTGTTGTGGTATTGGTACGTATTATTTCATATGCAATTTACAAGGCAAAAAAAAATCTAAATAAATAAAGTTAAAACAATTAAATAAAAATGAGACATGTTTGAAAAACACACATAATAGCAATAAACATTATTTGTTTACGACTCCAAGATACAAATTCCAACAATATGACGTCAAGCTGACTCAAAATAACAAATGATAAGCAGGTGTAATCGTGTATTAATTTTATGCCACGTTGTAATGCAAATTTGTTTTTTTTATTTATTATTTATTTATAGTATACATATTTATACAGGTACACAATATCGTCCTTGTTTTCACGAAGTGACGGTAGTTAAAAAAAATTGCATTCACTTTGCGTTACGATTTTCCTCACTACCGTCACTTCGTGAAAACAGGGACGATATATCAGATATAAATCTGTTAACCCCCAGCCCCCCCCCCCAAAAAAATATATAAAAATTGATTTTGCTCATAGATCTTTGCCTCTGTTGCTGATTACATACCCGGCCGAGATGGATGGGAGGGGGGGGGGGGGGCAGCTGCCTTTTAGAAATTTGAGGAACGGTTAAATTAATGACCAGTTGACCAAAGGTCCAGGAGAAGGCTTACAAGAATTAAGATCCCCCTGCCCAGGGGCGGCCGAGCGACTTCCAAAGTGGGGGGGGGGCACCAACAAAAAAGGGCACTTTCTGGAGAAAAAAAGGGCACCTACAGTGGGAAATCTCAAAGCGAAAATATACAATTTTTTAGACATTGGTATATACCCCTACATTGTGATTACATTATCAGGGATGATTTCAATATTTGTTTTTCTTCATACATCATACAAGATATCGCTTAAGCATCATACTTTACAGTTGGGTGTGATGTCTGAATATGCATTTACGAGCGAGCGAAGCGAGCGTGAAAAATTTCAAAGATCTACATTGTATGAGGTCGCAGTGCGAAAAATTACATCTTATAAAGAGGAAAAAAGCCAATCGTGATGGGGTTATAAGCACATTCTCATAACGGAAGACTGAAAAGACCTTTGATAAGTAACATAATTATATCATCTTTAAATGCGAGCGAGCGCAGCGAGCGAACTTTGGGGAAATTGCTCTCAGTCGCCTTAAATAAGGGGCACGTTTAATGATTACAAGAAAAGGGGACAATTATCGAAAGGGATAAGACACTTATACGAAAAGAAAAGGAGCACGTGTCAAAGTACAAAGAATTATTATAAGAGGTGAAAATGAGACAGAGGCGTTTACGAAAATGGGAAATAGGCATTTGTTGACGGAAAAGGGGCACCCATCAGATTTTGATAGGGGCATTTATAAGAGGTGAAAAGGGGATAGTTCCCTTATTAGAAAGGAAAAGGGCACGTATCATTATTAAAAGGGGAATTATCAGAGTTGAAAAGGGGCATTGACCAGATATGAAAAGGGGCACTTATAATAAAGGAAAATGTGCATTTGTTGAATGAAAAGGGGGCACCGTTCAGATTTTTAAAAGGGGCAGTTATGAGAAGGGGAAGGAACTATTTCTTTTTAACGGGGGCACTTATCATAAGGAAAAGGGGCACTTATTAGAAAATAAGAGGGGCACATGTTAAAATGAAAGGTGTGCTCATCCGAGTTTAAAAAAAGGGGATAGTTATTAAAAGGAGAAGGGGCATTTCTTACAAAGGAAAAAAGGGGAAGTTGTCAAAGTAAAAGGAGCACCTCTCAGTTTTGAATAGGGCAATTATCAGAGGTAAAGGGGGCACTTATTAAAAGTGAAAAGGGGCACTTCTCGTACCTGAAAAGAGGCACTTACTAGAGATTAAAAAGGGCACTTATTCAAGATTATTTCAAGATTTATGAGAATGGAAAATGGACACTTATTGCAAAGGAAAATGGGAACATGTCGAAGGAAAAGGGGCATGTGTCAAAAATAAAAAAAGGGCACTCGTCAGAGGTGAAAGGGGGAAGGGGCACTTTTACTAAGTAATAGGGGCACTTGTCAAATGAAAAGGGCACTTCTTACAAAATAAAGGGGCACTTTTCCTATGTAAAAAGGGGCACTTTTGGGGTATCTGAAAAAGTGGGAGGCACTTTGCCCCCCCCCCCCCCATCCCCGGGAGGGCCGCCTCTGCCCCTGCCCCTCCATGCACCGGCACGTCATTGCAATATCATGTCTTAATTGCTTTGCTTTGTATATATCTCTTTGATTCCCAGAAAAGGGGAACAAAAAGGAGATCTTTTGGTTTGTTTGGGGGGGGGGGGTGGTGGGGGCTGCATTATTTATACAAAAAACTTGAAGCCAATACCTTCTTTTCGTAGAATTTTTTGGAAGCAGCCCCCTCCAAAAAATAAGGCGATTCTTCAGCTCACTTCTCTGCTTAGAGTACTAGGCTAGGCCCTTACGTTAGATCTAGCTATTTTATCAAGTCTTTAACTTTTAGGAGTAAAATATGATTATCTGATTATGAAAAAAGAAAAATTCCATTCCTTCATTAATCGGATATTCTACTCTGAATGACTAATCTAGTATATGATAATGATGTAGCTACAGTAGATATAGATCTAGGTCTAGTTTACTCACTAAATCAAATTGGATATTCTACTCGGAATGAATAATGATAATACAGTAGATATAGATCTAGTTTGATTAGTTATACTCACATCACTCGATCAAATTGGACAGTACAATCATGCAATGCAGTGCAGCGGCCCGGTACGGGCGCCGAGTCAGTGAATTCCCCCGCCGACCCGGCCGGCGGCGCTGTACGGCTAGCTGCACACTGAGCTGAGCTGCTGCGGTAGCACTAGGCAGTAGTCTGCTAATTTACGGCCAGAACGAAAGAATGTGAACAAACATCAACCAACTCGTCTAAAATGTACTATATTCGACTTCTCAATAATGAAATCTGTGTCAGGAATAAAAAATAGACCTTCATACGAGATAAAAATGATATTTTTGCAGTGATTTACCGACGAAAACACTGCTCAAATTTTAGTGGTCCGAGTAGAAGCAACGCACATTTAATGTACGTGCGGCAATGCGGATTGCGAGCTGTGAGTAAATTGTCCGAAATGTCATTTTTTTTGTCATTTTACCGAAAGATAAGTCATAGATTGTCTTCATTGGTATCATTTAACACAATTCCATTAAAGATTTAGGTTGGAAAGGGCATTATTAAGTCACAAAGAGCACAAACATAATACACATTGGTATCTCTCGATCGATTAATCAGGTCGGGACATCTCGGCCCAGTTTTTCCAGCTGGGCCGAGTAGTCCCGTGGGCCGAGTTAGCCCGGATTCGGCTAAGGCAAGGCCCAGCGACAGACTAGAGTAGATAAGGCCATTGCCGCTCCGGAGCTTCAGCGGAATTATGTTGTGATTCGATATTGCGTCGCGTAAAGAAAGGGACTCAATAATTGACACAAATACATCATCCTTTTCATAACCTACACATCTAACTCACAGATCACACACTCTCAAAATAATACAATTGTAAGTAATTTACCACGTCTGGCTCCTCAAAATCCTGCACAATGACGGTTCCTCCATCCACCACGCCACGGCCACAGCTTTAGAAAATAGAGTTAATTTTTCTCGATCAAAAACAAATGGACAAAAACTGTTCTGAGCTAGCTTCGGTCGCGTCTTCGAAAAAGGTAAAACGCCATCTACGATGGAAAACTGAACAACAGTTTATAGATGATAAGGACAAAATAGATGATTTTTTTTTTGTGTGTGGTGTGTGTGTGTGTTTTTTTATTCTCATAGGTTTTTATTCTCTTTTCTCATACAGAAAATTGTACATAATTTATAACATTTTACAAAAAAATCTTCACATAGGTCTACATAAATTTGCGAGTGAACTTTTACATTTCCATACAAGGTTACAAATAAATGAAGTACACATTTACTGATGAAAAATATTCTCATAAACAAAATCGCAAATAAAGTTTGTACTATTTCCTCGACCAGTTTGCATATAAGTTTCAACTTATTTCTTTTCTTTTCCACAATATTTGTTTTTCTAAAAAATTTCTTTCTGAGAGATACGAAAAGAAGGGTTATGATAAATGACGATGACCACTTTTTCGTATGGATCGGTTATGATGACGAGTTGGTAAAAGAAAAGTGGTTGTGGGATAGCAGAAAAAATTAGAAGAACTTGGGCAAAAGTAAATCATAATGATAAACTATTTGAGAACTGTAATTCCATTGTAGGCCTACTTGAAATTCTTCAATTCTTCGTGTAATCAGTTTCTTTTTTATTTTCAACAGTACAAAACGATTTTCCACGAGACATATGATTATGGCATCATAACATGAATTTGATTTTGAAGTTAACCTCCGCGTCCCTCTTCTGTTCTTATCAAACAGAGGCCTACCCCTCCCCCCCCCCCCCCCCGGCCTCCCCCTTTAGGCCTCCTCTCACCCCGGCCGGGCAGGATGGAAACGTTTATAATTATGTCCACTTTAGATAATTTTCTTAAACTGATGTTTTAGATGACGCTATCATTTGTTGATTTGTCAGCTTAAATATCTCTCTCTCCAATTTTTTAAAAAATTTAACCAAAGATAGCAAGTCGCGCTTAATTTAAAAGTAAAATTTTCACTGCATGGGTTACTGTTAAATTGTAATACTATTGTTGTGCCCGGAGTGACAATCAAATTTTACATCGCATTAAGAAAAAAAAAGTACATTAACATAATTAAAACAATTAATATGAGATAGTGCAAAGCATTACAAATCGTCATATGGATAAAGTACTACTAATGTTATTTAAAAATTAGCATTATGATAAGATAATGGCGAACAAAGTTGATGAGGACATAAAACACACGTGACTTGTGTGGATTAATATTCATGCCTGGTGCATTAATTGGTTGGTACATGCGGTAGGGAGGGCAGTAAATAGGTTAACACCCCCTCACCGCCCCAATTCTTTCCAAAATCAAGTCTGGGTCGACGCATCATAAATGAGAATTTTATTAGTGTCTAGCGATCTTCATTGGTTAAACAATTAGTATTCATGTTCTCTTCTGCCCGTTTTTAGTTTAATGGGACGATATAAACATACGCCAAGAACGTGGGGCCCCAATTTGAACCCTTGAGGGACCCACATAATAGGCTCGCTACCTAGGTAACTTAGTCCTGGGGGGGGGGGGGGGGGGGGGTGTGTTTTCACAAAGGTCCTAAGTTGAACTTAACTCTAAGTTGGACTTAAATATTATGGAGAGCCATTTGTAACCTTAAAATGAAATATATTCAAAAGCGAAAATACGGTATTTTAGACTTTTTATAAATTCCACATCAAAAACATAAAATCTCCTTGATAATAAAAAAATATGAATGATTTGAATCAACATTTTATGCCTTTTAAATAACTTTTTAAAAATATTTTCAAAGATGCTAACGGCTTTCCATGATTTTTAAGTCCATCTTAGAGATAAGTTCAACTTAGGATCTTTGTGAAACACCCCCAGGTCTACTCAGTTTCTCCAGGGAGGTGAAAGGTCCTGTGACCTCCCTGCATGGTCTCTCAGATGGGAATGAAGTGCGTCCTATCATGTAATCGATCATGACAAGTATTTGCACATGCAGTGTATTATATTTTTTAAATCTTTTATTACCTTTGCCTGTCTGCACCTCCCTCTACCTTTCCCTCTATCTCTCCCTCTCTCTCTGTTTCTCTCCCTTTCGCCCTGTCATTCTTTCACCAAGCTTTAACTGTCTTGCCCCCTTTTTTAAGTATGTCTATACATGATGATGGGAAGTACATTTTAAAAACATTTTATTGGTATTAAGTTCATTACCGCCCTCTGTCTCCTCTTTAAAATTATATTTCTCTCGACCCCCCCCCCCCCCTTTCTCTCTCTCTCTCTCTCTCTCCCTCTCTCTCTCTCTTCCTCTTTCTCTCTCTCATTATCTCTCTCTCCCCATTTTATTCAATGCACCACGACTATTGTAACTAAGCGACCAAACGCTCTATTTGTCATTGCAGCTTGAGTACGGTCCCATTGAGTATGTGCGAGCAGGCATTAATATTGAGAGGTCCTTTTCATTAAGAAATTTTTCTTAATCCCAGACCTTTCAATTTGTCATTCATTTTAAGAGCTACTTTTGATTTGTTGATGACTTTTTCCTCAATATATAATTATCAAATCAACAACGATTTTTAAACGATAATGTATAATGCAATAAAAAATTATTATGTTTCAAATTTAGTGATAATTATCTACATAATAATGACAAAAATACCATGAGAAGTATGAAGAAAGACTAGATGGTTTTGTCCAAAGTCCCATTGTCATGATTATAGTTGGTGGGGGGAATATAATCATTACACGAAATAGCAGCAATGGATTTACTATGTTATTGGGGATACCTGCGTTGTAAAATATCCTATAGTTAGTCAATTAAAGTATGTTTCGTGTATGACATCGCCCCCATCTTACCGTGAAAACAGACAGATTGAAGGAATTACAGGACATCAACAAAGATCAGAAGATGACAAATTGGAATGGATTTGAATACATTCATTGAGAGTAACATAAAATGGTACGTATCTAAAACTTTAACGTAGACTTATATGATTGCATTCATTCGCCAATATTTATATCCCAGTTAAACTATAACGAGACCGACCTCAGACCGATCGAACAGTTACATTACTTCAAAATAATGGTCGGTTTGGAGTTGCTTTGGCGGTGTGACTGTGTATAAACAATAATAGTCTGCATTGTTTACAACGTTGCCGATACAAGAGCGTAATATAAGTTGATTGAGAGAGAGAGAGAGAGAGAGAGAGAGAGAGAGATTGAGAGCAAGTTTTGGGAAATTTTGAAAATTGGTTGGATAGTGATTCTTTACAATTTTGATATATTTAGATGCCCCTGTTGATGTATTATAAGCACAAGGAAATTTAGCCCCTAAAACACTTCTGCTTTCGAGAAAAATTGAATATAAAAATTTACCGGTGATCCCGGTAAATTTTGATAAATTTCAAATAGCGCATACGGCCGTATGGTATAGCTGCGATAATGAAAATATCAGAATATGTAGTTGTGATATATCCAAACGGGAATAGCTAATCGGTCGATTTTAGTCAAGAAACATTGTTTTATAGCTTAATTAATATCTTGACATTGAGAGTTTATTATTTACAATTTCATAATTTTGGAGTCGATTTCAACCGCGACAACGATCACTGAATATTGTAGGATGGCATATATGCTTCCAATATGTTAATTTGAACCGAATTCATGACCCCATACCAAAACTTTGTATTACCCTTACGGGAGAGAGATTGAGATTCACACGGTAAATGAATCGACAGGCATTAAAATGTATGTGAAAAACCAAAAAACGGGCTAAATTGCCTCATAATTATCAGTCATATGGCCTCATAATTATGTCCGGTCACAGGTTTACAGGTTAATGACGATCAAATCTAGGAGCTGAAAATATAAAATAGAAGGATTGTGACGTAACAATAGATGATATCATTTTGCTACGCAACGCATTAAAATTTGAGCTACGCAATACAATAATAAAAAAAAAAAACTTTAAATACGTTTTGTGTGTGTTTAACTCTCGTGGGAATGACTACACATTGTCATTGTAAAAAATGAATCTATATCTTTCAGTCATTTAATTCTTTCATTGAATTCATTACCCCGGCCAAATTAAGTTACATTGTATTTCACCATGCATTTTTAGTATCAGAAAAACTAAAACTTTAAAAAAAAATTGGGAACAGGGATTTGTGGTGGCGCCGTGTGGATTTTCTTCTGTTACAGATCATGGATTATGTGTATCCGGACACTATGCAAAATAAACCTGTCAATAATATTGTGCCGTTGGATTTCAAGGAAAATATGCATCAAATTGACCTAACAACCACGAATATTTCGTATTGCATGAGTTATACACGATTCCTGAAATATTCATGTGAACTTGATCAACTTACTGTTCAAAATCAGCTATGCGAAGAACTGGCCTTTCCGGATGCACCAACCAAGACAAGTGTGGGTTTACATTTTACAGTCATTTAAATACTGAATATCAAGTAGCATAGGTTTCAACCAGAGCATAAGTTAAGAAAATAATCGCTGCTCAATCATCAGTGTTTTTAAAGATAAGAAAACTATTTAAAGTAGACATTATTTTGTTTTTATTTTATTTTACAGACACGACAGAAAGGTGGCGTATCGCTTCTCAAGTAATATGATTCTCCACTGGAACTGAACAGAAGGCAGATAATCGGACGTATGAAAAACTGGTAACCGTCTCATCATGGGCTGCGGAGGATCAAAGAGCACCGCAGTCGTTGAAAGCAACGTCGACGTACGGCGTCACAATGGCATCAAACGAAGTAATGACGTCATTAATGAAAGAGCAACAGTAGACGAAAGTGGAGGTGACACTGAACAAAATGGCGGAAACGTTACAGAAGGACAGTCGGTAAAAGTAAATGAAGAGATAGCTCCCCCTTTAAAACATAAAAATGTAATAAATGGACATTTCACCGGCATCGATGACGGCGTTGTTACTAATAGGCAACAGGACGAACCAGAGACGATCGAGAGCAGAAGTAAACAAAATGTTATACAGAGCGCTCCGTATAAAATCCCGAGTGACCCAAAAACCGAATCGCCTTTTGATCCTTCGGTGAATGTCGGAAAATACCGAGAGGAGCCGATACCAGTGTTCGGCCGGGCCGCGTTTCCATTGAGCAAAGACAATCCTGATTTGAAGATTGAGGACACTTTCTGGCCAGGCAAACGAGCCCTGATACCCGACTACAACCAAATGAAGAAAATGGATAAACATGCAATAGAGGTAGGTATGATAACCCCAATACATGAAAGCAAAACCGTCTGACTGGTATGTCATATTAATGTCATCGAGTAAGCTGTTAAACGGGCACCTGTAAATGTGCGTCCCGTTAAAAGGCGAAGAGATGGGATGATCCACGGGGAGAGGAACATGTAAACTTTAAAATTTGATGTCAGTAACAAGTTACAAGCTACTGTTATAAGCTACTGAAATCATGGCATCTGATTGGCTGAGAGCAAATTTGTCATAGAAATTTAACTGTTGTTATAGATAACAAGTTTTATGAAACGGGCGCTAGTAATAATACGGTGACCGGGGTAATGAATGTAAGCGGAAACAAGGAAACACATTCACCCTTTTCGGCTAACGTTATATCAAAATCCCCCTCTAAAGATTAATGCCCTTTTGCGTATTTTGTTATGCTAATAAAAACATCCGGGACATCTGGGGGGGGGGGGGCACACTTTAAAATTAAGTTGAACTGATGGAGGGGACTCTAGTCTAATTCTATTCAGACGATGGTATCTAATCACAGAAAGGGAGGGAGCACTTAAAACATTTTTCTGAAAATATGATATATACAGGGAGATAATTTTCGATCAAATTGAGCCATGTTTACCTCCCCCTCCCGATCATATTCTTATTATCAGTTCGTTTCTTATATAATTTCATAATTTAGCATCTTTTCTGCCTCCCTTTGAAGACTACGTAATGTATACCACTATTGATTCCCTGTTCAAATGGAGAAACCTGCATGTAAGGAGACTTTCGTCTTCTTTTGACAGATGAAGACAGTCACTTTTTTCTTTACAACTCATGAATGATTGATTTTTTTATAGTTTTAAATAATATTACATTTTCTCGTCGTATATACGAGACACCATCAACAACAATCACAATCTTTTTATGTATAATTACGTTGGTCTTGGTAATCTTCAAATGCACCATTTTGCGGAACTCATACTATCAACATTAAAGGGGGGGGGGGGGCATGGAGTGAAACTCGTTACGGGAAATTTCGAGGCAATCAGGCCATTCAAACCATGGACCTATAACCAACCGGCCCTCAAGCCGAAATATAGAGCGGCCCGTCGAAGAAAACTGCCCCGAACTCTACATTTCCAGTCAACCCCTTCTCAGAAGTAAGTTGTGCAGGTGGTAATCGTGCATCCGGCATATACACTCCGGGTATGAGGCAATATTATTATCCTACATAATCTGCTAACTGTTACGGTTAGCACATTACTGCAATGACCCCGAATATCCAAAGATCTTCAAAACATGAAGAGATCCCACTTTGTACATTTTGAAATAATAACTCCTACAGCGATAGAAGTGCTACATAAATAGCCTTTGTTTCCACTTTTCAAAGAATACTTCCACCTGTGTTTAATGGAGTGCACTGCTTGTCTATAATGATTAATGATTACATAACTTTCATGAGCACGTATCCAGTATTTCGTCTCCGTGTATTTCACAATTTGTTCTGCAATGACCTTTATCCGCTCATAAATGATTCCTTGTGTTGTTCGATTTCTTTACTGAATCTATAGACTCCCCCTGGACTTCGGAAAGACATGGATCAACTTGTTGCCCATCTGACTACGGTTACCAAGTCACAGCTGGAAAAACTCCGGGTTATATTTCGCTGGGTGGCGCATAACACGGAGTACAACGTTCAGGGGTTCAGGACAGGGATGCCCGGGGACAACTCGGCTGAAGCTGTCCTACGGACCGGACTCGCGGTCTGTGGCGGATACAGTAATCTTATGGTGGCTATGTGCGCGTAAGTATATATAAACATGCATTCACTTTTACTGACTGAATGTGGATATTGATATCATACATCTTCCTCGCCTTTTTTGTTGTTCTGCCATCTTTCGATGGGGATGAGGGGACGGACGTGCTTTTTAGCCTCTGAAGTTACATCACTGATAATAATGTATACATCGTTAGAAATAAAGATTTTTCACTCTGATAATTTCGTATCATCCAATACATTTAGGCTTATATCAAAGATTGATTTTTATACTTTTGTATTTGTATTCGCTTAGCCTGCCCACATCTATCACACCATTGCACCAAGTGAGATCTATAAGCACTAACCCCCTGCGTGATGCAATGCATCCAACACTGGATTTGGATAATCTAATCAAGAGTTTGTTTATTTGTTTTATTTCCGAAAATCATCATAAAAAACAATAACACAATATAACGAAATCAAAGACTTATATAACAACAATAGAATGATAAAACGGTTGGATAGTCCATTTCAGAGCCATTAACCTAGTGTATTTGTTTGATAGACCCCATTGTAAACTAGCCTAGGTGCTAATTTGTTGTTGTTGCTGTGTTAAATAAATTAATAAATGTATAAATGAATGAATAAATAAATGAATGAATCAATCAATCGATAAATAATTTTACAATATTTTCTCCCTATCAGGATTGTGGCTTAGTGACTCGAAGAAGAAGAAGACGATCAATTATACTTATTTCATGGACCCTTTGTAAACTAGCTAAGTTGCCGAATGCCGTTTTTCCCGTGTTTTGAATAAATGAATTAATGAATAAATGAATAAATGAATAAATGAATAAATCAATCAATAATCATATTTATGTTTTCTCCCAATCAGGAAAGCGGGCGTAGAGTGCGTGAAGATCAGTGGCTACGCCAAAGGAAGCGGCTATTGGCCAGGCAAGGAGAATCTGTCCAAGATGACCCATGCCTGGAACAGGGTCACCGTTGATGGCAGCACATTTCTATGCGACTGTACATGGGCCGCGGGTAGTGTTGGTGAGTGCTGTAGGTTTTAGTGGTTAGTTGGTTGGTGTGCTTTGTTTGTTTTACCTGACTGCTAAGAAAGAATGTGTATGATTGTAAGTAAGCGACCAGGGGACCGGCTGCTTCAAGTCCTCTCCGAAGGACTTGGTAATGAGGATTAATGCCTTAGCAAAGGGCACTAGCGCATTAAATTGGTTTTGAGACTACTACTTTACCACCGAGTGATCTCGCCTCCCAAAAAGGATGCTCAAACATAATTATGTAATTGACAATGATATTATTAGTAATTTCTTGGTTAGAAAAGTATCATGATGGGATTGTGTCGGTAGTCCAACATTGCATTTACTATTTCTTCTAAACGAAGTTATTCCATTCTATAATTTATTTTTATTCCAATATCCCTATTCATGCAGATACTGCTTTCACAAGGCACTGGAAGGAGAGTCAATTCTTAGCGGAGCCAAAGAGCTTTGCAAACCACCATTTCCCGAAAGGTGTAGACATCCAGAATATATTTTCCACTCTATCTCTTGAGGAATGGAACAACACTCCAGTATTAGGAGCCCTAGCGCAGTTCTCCGGACTCGAATGTGTGAGTCACACAGAAGGTATCATCAAGGCACCAAACAACAGTTGCCTGATCAAGCTCAAACTGGAGAGGGCGCTCTATGACACCTTCTGCATTGTTGAGAATGAGGATGGTACGAAACTGAAAGGAGTGGTGATTCAGTGGTGGAACGAGAACGAACTGTCCTGCAGCATCCGTCTTCCAAAAGCTGGTAGGTACAGTTTCATCCTCATCGGGAAAATTTCATGGCAGCGCAACGACAATGGCAACACCGAGGTCCTGTATCCAGAACAACCCTCAGATGCCATCGACAATACGCTAGTAAGCTACGTAATCAAAGCAACAGGTGGTGAGAAACTCGATCCTATGTCTACTGAAGAAATAAACCTGTATGGTGCACCTTTGAATTCGCCAGACTATGGCTTGACTCCAGCTGACAAGAACGAAGCAACCGTTCAGGCAGTTGCAGGAAGTGCTCATGTAGTCTTCAAGAAGCTGCATGAAGGCCCTTCTTCTGTCCGTGTAGACCTTTACAAAGTCGGTGATCAGAACAAAAAGATGAAATCGTTCGTTTACTGCGAACATTTTGACGATTGGGTGGTTTGCCATGTTCGGTGTCCTTTTGCCGGGAAATTCATTCTTACCATGTATGTAAAGTCTGACCATGAGGACTACTCTTGTAAGCTGACCTATATCATTGTTAGCGCTGGAAAATTCGACCCGATACGTCTCCCAGATATGAGCGCCGTTTCCGGTCCAAATGCTAAATTTGCAGGACACGGTCTCCGCCTCAGAGACGCCCTCACATCGACAATAGTTACAGTAGAAGGAGAAGGGCAATTAGTCATCGCCTGTGATGCAACCAAAGAAATGAAGGTTATTGCTGGCTTGAAGGATATTTCCGAATCACCAAATAATGATGGAGGCTACGTTGTAGAGACCAACAAAACGGAAACAGAACAGGTTACAACCGTTAGCCTTAGACTCAAGACGAAAGGGTTCTTCAAACTGACACTCTTTGCCAAGCCGAAGAGCGAATCAGTGCCGACAAAAAACGAGTTTGTAGGGCAGTGGCTCGTATGTTGTCGCAAACCTAGCAAGAAGGAGCCCTTTCCAAAAGGTGCCACCGACATCGGAACCGAAGCTAAGTTCCACTTTCTAGGTTTGCAAACAGCGACACAAAGCAGAGTGGTGTGTGAAAACGGGGAAGGTACCTTTGAAGTGTTTAGTAAGCCCGAATCATCTGTCGAATTCCTCTTCAACCTAAAGAAAGGTAAAGAAGATGATGAAGTAGAGCGTCAAGTATTTGCAGATACTTACGTCATGGAAACAAAACGCATAACGCGCTTTCATTTCCGTATGGACAAGACAGGCACATTTGCGTTCCGACTGTTTGCCAAGTCGGAAGGTAGCGAGAAGCATGACTACGTTGGCATATGGTTGGTAGTGAACGAGAAAGTTTGCAAGAAACCTACGTACCCTGGAAGGAAAACTACCTATGGACCACAATCCATCTTCTGGGATTCAGGATTAGGCTTAGACGATGGAAATTCAAAGAGGCTATACCTGTTCGATGGAGAAGGTGAGTTGTGCTTTACTCACAAACCGAGCACGAATCGAAGAATCACTGCGCACCTGGAAACCGCACAGGGCGGGCGTAAGGACAAGAGCTCTGTTACGAGCTCCTTGATCGAAGCTGGGGGGTCAGATGAGGGAGAAATCGCGTCGACAAGAATACGACTTAGGATCAAGAAACCAGGACTCTACGACCTTGTGGTCTTTACCGAAGACGAGACAGGCAAGTCCTTCACATATGCAGGCGTGTGGCTGGTTGACTGCGCCAAAGCAACCACTAAGGCAATGTTTCCAGAGGTCAGAGGCACTATGGGACCTGAACCCCTGTTTCTCCAGATGGGTCTATCAACAAAAGCGCCACACTGCTCGACCCTCCCCGCCGACGCTGACGGATTGTGCACACTCACAGTACTTCGGGACAAACCCTTTAGTATGATCTTCCAAACAGAGGATGAGAGGTGTAAGATTTCCGAAACAAAATCGAAAACCGGGAAGCCGTCCTTCATGATCACCTGCGACGTGAAGCTGCCAAGACCAGGGTTATACACCCTAAACATGTTTGCTGCGGAACCGAAAACGAGTAAGAGTAATTTCGTAGGGACATGGCTCATGGAATGGAACAAGAAGTGAAACCCTAACCTTCATCTTACATGCAATGTGCCTTGATGACAATGAAGACGTGAAGTACAATCAAGTTTGTTAAAAAGAGGCCACATCATCAGCGTATATAATAAAGGGGTAGGGATGCGGGGGGGGGGGGGGTAGTTTGCCCGTCCTGGCAGATTTCCGACCTGGAAACAGAAATGCAAACAAACTATCTACATAATAGTTGGCAGGTTAGGGGATCATTGTAAATCCAGAAACACAATAAATGTACTAGATGATATGGTTTGCCCCCAAGGTATGGGTACGAAACTGCGCCACATGTAGTTCTACTATATCCATCCAAACACGATCTTAGGATTGTTCAGTTTAGTTAGTCCCTCGGGTTTTGGTGAGAGTGCTTTGCGGCGTATCCAGTATATTATCGATGTACCCCCCCCCCCCTACACTTTGTTCGACGGTCTTAAACCGAAGACATGATTGCAATGACTGTGACAAATAAAGGGCATAAGGTGACTCACCTTTTGTAATAATAATAACATTCCGCTTTTATATAGCGCTTAACATGATGTCTCTAAGCGCTTTATACAGGTATATACCCGGTCATTGGATTCAGTGCTTGCCCGCACACACTGTGTACACAATCTCCACTCCCTGGGGAGCATTCCAGCGATGTGCTATACTTGACGCCTAAAAACTGTTTGACAAACAATGACGGTCGAATCCTACCGGGTACCCATTTAACACCTGGGTGGAGAGTAGGAAGTGCAGGTTAATGTCTTGTCAAAGGATATAAATCATTAGTGCCGTATCGGGATTCGAACCCTCGTCCCCCGCTAGTCAAGCGCCTTAAACCACTTGGCCACGACACTATGGTTAACGTGCAAACATGACATTTACATATAAATTATGAAACCTGAACATGATTTTTTTTATTTTAGATAATGCAATAAGGTATCAAAATTGCCGTAAGAAGTTGGATTCCTGAAAGTTTTTAGATCGTTTTATTGCAGCTTACAATGGGTAACGCTATGTGGTGTTTCTAGTCGTATCTTCCGACCCGCTTCCGACGTTTCCTCCATTATGATATAACCCCCACCCCTCCCCCAATTTGCCTTTCAAGGATTAAAGTAGCCACACGAAGAATCAAAAGTGTTTTGAATTGATGCAAAACTCATATCATTGCGAAGGGGAAGCCTTGCCGATCAAATACAACAAGTCTTCTCTTCAAAATATGTTTGGGGCCCGCAGTAATCAACTCTCAAAAATGTTAGTTTTGAGATCCAGATTTTCTGCCTTAAGCGGTCCTTTGTAGAGCGTCAATATTTGTGACGTCACATACGGGACACGGCTGGCTATAGCTGCATACTGCTACACGGGATTGAGCTGTTCGTCCAGTGTGTGACGTCACAATTCAGAGCTCGCTACGCTTGTGTGTTTGACTTACGTTCAGGGACGTTCGGGGGTCTAAGGAGGGTCTTGAAAAATTGCATTTTACGCCTATCAGATATCTACATGATTTCTCAGCAAATTGTTCGTGTTTTTCAAGAGAAAATCTTTCCATCCATATGTAATTTGTTCAAATTATGAGTTAGTGAATTTTCTTTGTGTTGCACGCTATTCCTTATGCAGTCAATGTACATAATTATATTAACAGTATTATCAGGGAAGATTAAAGAAAATTACAGATTCTATGCAAAATAATATTGTCTATATTGTATTGTTTTTACCTTGCTCTTGTAATTTTTTTTTAGTGTGTTCTATATATTGCATTTATTTATTCATCAGATATTCAAGATGACACAAGATTACACAAATAATGTATATAATTATATTAACAGTATTCTCAGGGAGGACCAAAGAAAATGACAGACTCTATGCAAACTAATATTTTCTATATTTTATTGTTTTGATCTTGTTATTGTAATTGTTATTATAGTGTGTAGTATATATTGCATTTATTTACTCATAAGATGTTCAAGATCACACATTCTATATTTTTATGACTGTAAATGGAAGAAAATATATTTTGCAATAATGTCCAATGAAAATCTGTGTTATTATTTTTTTTAAATCGCGTGGAATAGAGTGGACGGAATTGATTATTAAAATATGATTTTGCAACTATAAACAAAAATAATATATACGATTTTTGGAAGAAAATGGATGGAATTCAAAACGGAAACGAGGGCGGGGGGGGGGGGGGTGGGGGGGGGTCTAGAACAGATAAACATCTATAGTAAAAATAAAAATATTAAACAAAATGGCGCAAAGTTCACAGAGATTAGAAGTGGGAGTGAATGAAAGAGTGAGAATGACTGTTCACACTCAAGAGTATAGACTCGATCGAGGGAGAGAGAGAGAGAGAGAGAGGGGGGGGGGGATTGGGAGAGCTAGCTGGAGAGAGAGTGAGAGACTGAGACTGAAAATGGACAGTGTGAATGTGTGTGGGTGAGAGAGAGAGAGAAAAGAAAGAGACAGACAGAAAGAAGGGGAGTCAAACAGAAAGAGAGAGAGAGAGAGAGAAAAAAAAATGGGGAGAGCTAGCTGGAGAGGGAGAGACTGCATGAGACAGAAAATGGACAGTGTGTGTATGTGTGTCACAATGTGTGCAGGCACGCCAGAAGCAGTTTGGGATGGGGGGGGGGAGGGGGCAAACACTCCAGAGAGCTCACCTCCCCCTACCCCCCCCCCCCCCCCCCACACACATACACACCCGGCTGGACCGTATTCGTGTTCCTAAAATCTCCCGTAAAGGCGTACTTTTAACTCAACAATATCAAAGTCCGGTCCGTATTGTACCGGCCGGGCAGGATGGAAACGTTTATAATGACCCTAATGACCTCTTAGATTTTTTTTAATGACGTTTTATTTAACACATATATCATTTGTTGATCTGTTAGCTAAAATTTCTCTTTCAATACAAATTTTAAAAAGAAAGCAAGCCGCGCTAAAATAAATTAAAAGTAACATTTCCACTGCATGGGTTACTATTTTTGTGCCCAACGTGACAATGAAATTGTACATCGCATCATAAGAAAAAATAATTAAAAAATGGGATACTAGTAGTCCATATGTACAACTAATGTTTAAACAAAAATGAGCATTATAATACGATAATGGCAAACAAAATTAATAAGGACATTAAACGCACAAGTTTGGATTTATATTCATGCCTGGTGCATTAATATTGGTGGGTGCGTGTTGTATAGGGAGGGTGGCTGTAGGTTAACACCCCCACCGCCCCGATTATTTCCAAAATAAAGTCTTCCTGTGTCGACGCATAAAAAGAGACACCCCTTTGATGAGAACTGCATTAGTGTCTAGCGATCTTCGTTTAATAAATAATATTCATGTTCTCTTCTGCCCGTTTTTAATTCAATGTGACTACAGCATGCACATAGGCCAATATGGTGGGACCCCAATTTAAACCCCAATGGGACCTACATGGGCTTGCTACCTCAGGGTAACTTAGTCCCGGTTCACTCATCCTCTCAGATGGGAATGCAGTGCGTCATAATTTTTGTTATTAGGGACTTTTAGATTTGCGTGGACTGAAACGTGTGACGTCCATTCAAGGCAGTGTATTAAAAGGACGTCGACCGTAGCAATCCCCATTGTATTCGTGCGAATCTAAAAGTCCCTATTAAACCTAAACAAAATAAGTTGTTTTGCCCTTTATAGGTGCCAAAACATGGGTGGGTCGGTCGGTCGGAAATCTTTTTAAAAAATGTCCTCCTCCCTCTTTTTGGCTGGTATTTCTCAGTTTTTAATGCTTTATTACACATTTTTGTATTCATTTTTTATTTAATTCTCTAAAAAAAACGGTTTTAAAAAAGAAGCTTTTTTAAAAAGCCTACCGTGGATTTTTGGGTCGGTCGCAAAAGGGAATAAAACATTTTTTTTTTAACGCCTATAATAATTATGTTATCATGAAAATTAGTATCCGCACACTGTATATTACTTTTTCCTGTTGCCTATACCTGTCTGCACCCCTCTCTCTCTCTCTCTCTCTCTCCCTTTTTCTCTCTCTCTCCCTTTCTCTCTCTTTCTCCCTTTGATTCTATCTCCAAACTTTATCAACACTGTCTTGCCCCCTTTTTAGTCTGTCTATAATGATGATGTACAAGAAGTACAACTGGGCTTTATTACCTTTTATTGGTATTTAGTTCACTGCCGCCCTCTGTCTCCTCTTAATTTGTTTATAATTATTTTACAATGCCATTGATTTCATCAATTTGCTTTCTCTTCTTCTACTGCCTCTTCTTCTTCATTTTTCCCTTCTTCACCTTCTCCTACTTATCATTATTATTTTCTTTACTCTTTATTCTATTTTTTTCTTTTATTCTCAAATTCACTCTCCTTGTACGTCTCTAGAATCTCATACTATACTACTCCGTTTTCGCCTCCTAAAATACCTTTTAAATTCAGACCTGCTATTATTGTGTTCCTCAGTATACGGGAGCCTATATTCACATAAAAGCTATGCTTTTTATTTAGGCTCCCCACATTTTACTTTTTTTGTTGTTTTACCTTGCCTGTCATTTCTATATATATATATAGAAATGACACGGGGTCAAATTTCACTCTGAATGGCGTCAGCTGGGAGTCAACTCCATTCCTAGTTAAAGTGACACGGAAAAGGAGTCATATTGACTCTGAATTGAGTCAATTCTCAGCTGATGCCACACAATCCGAGTCAAATTGATTCGGAATCCGTGTCACTTTAACTCCGTGGAAATAAGAGTATATATTTCGAAACCTCTTACTTATTTTCCGTACATTATACTTAAATCGAAATCTTTAATTTTTTATATTTCGAAACCTCTTACTTATTTTCCGTACATTATACTTAAATCGAAATCTTTAATTTTTTGTTGGTGTGTGAAATCTATACGCTCTCCCTCTCTCTCATTATCTCTCTGTCACCATTTTATTCAACTTGCAACATGACCATTGTAACTAAGCGACCAAACGCTCTATTTGTCATTGCAGCTTATCTCTAGAGTACGGTCCCATTGAGTATGTGCGAGCAGGCATTAATTTGAGAGGTCCTTTTCATTAACAAAATTATTCTTAATCCCAGACCTTTCAATTTGTCATACATTTAAAGAGCTACTTTTGATCTGTTGATGACTTTAAAAACCTTTTTCATCAATATTTAATTATCAAATCAACAACGATTTTTAAACGATAATGTACCATGCAATACAAATGATTATGTTACAAATTTATTGATATTTACCTTAATTCATATGCAATGACAAAAATACCATGAGAAGTATGAAGGAAGACTAGATGATTTTGTCCAAAGTCCCATTGCCATAAGTATATAGCTAGTGCATGGGGAAATATAATCAATACATGAAATGGTAGTAAGGGAATTACTACTATAATTGAGGGTACCTGCGTTGTAAAATGTCCTATATTAATCACATTATAGT